CTGCGCCCCTCATGGTTCCCTCATTAGAGAGAGGAATTCCTAGGGTGCACTTTGTTGCACCCTCCAAGCACTCCGAGCGTCCACGCCTGGTTGCACACATTCTTTACCACACATACGTACAGCACTGGTCTTCATGTATTGAGGCAACAGTACCGCAATAAACAAGATTTACGAACAGACAAGCTACTTGCTCGATTGTTTCCTAATACTAAATTGATAATATCTAGGGGAATTAGAAAGGTTCAAGGAGGACCTAGCCCTCTGCACATTAACCCGCACGCCTTCTAAAGAGACGCCTTCGTGTTCCGTACCTGCATGTCGAGGTCAACTACCTACAGAACAGCGTAAGCATTCTTGCCCTTCCACCAATTCCTCGGCAGGCAGAACCGCGGAAAAAGCTAAAGTGAAAACAGCAAAGTGCAGATCAACGACTAAAGCCAACCCAGTGGAAAGTAATGCTCAGAGACTAGCTTACAACGAACGGGGCTTTCACCCGGCACGACCGCGCCAGCGCGGTGACTTGCTGTCGTCGGAGGGCTAAAATTTATGAGCCTCGTGCTACAATAAATTAGAATACAAGTAAAGCGCGTAAAGGGAGCCAAAGTACACTAGTCAAGCAGTGTCTTCGCGTCTCACATAGCAAGAAATGCATGCAAATACAGCGAGCTCCTGCAGCATAGTCGATTCCAAAGCCTCCAAACGGCATAGGGAAAAGCGCAGAAACAGCATGCCTGAAGCGCTTTCTCATACACCTGATTGTGGGAAACTCCTTTACAACAATAGCCAGCGAACTTTGACCAGTATTCATAGCTAAGATAGCTATATCAGGTAGCGCATGCACGGGGTAAGGAGATTTACCCAGTAATGCAAATTGCATCGTTCATCAAGACGTACAATGCATTTTCCTGCCGCTGGGTCTCCCTTCTGCTTTCCAATATCGCAGAACATTGCTTGAGGTTCACCCAGGCATTAGCTTAATGCAGTGCGTTGGACGACCAACAGGTGGCTCAACTGCTGGTGGTTCGTCATTGTTTAGCATATCCAGAGCCCGTGATACATATTTTTTTGTGTTATCTTCGACTAAAGCCTCAGCTTGTACTAAGTATTAGAGAATCTGTTCCAATACCACTGAGAGGGGCTCCCGAAATACGTTCCATTAAATCGTTGTTGAGGTGCCCTCATGAATGCCCTACCCCACCGCGTTGAGGCACTAATTGCAGCCTGCTCTTCACAAAGAAAATGAATGATTACTAGAGCTTCCTGGCACACTGACCTATACACCACGCAGCTGTGGCCTCATGCACACTTTCCACTGGGCCACTGATGGCATACCTACGACCACATCATGGTGCGCAGGTGGAAATTACAATCTACTGACTGCGTTAGTACGCCCACATCCCGACGTGCAAAGACAGTTGACCGCCACAGCCATGCCAATCATTCCAGTCTGCCGCCCGTCAACAAATTTAGTCCAAGGACTACCCTAAGGCGTGAGCAGGTAGATTGGACTTCTGTGGCTTTTCCTCAATTAACAGACTCACCCAATAACCAGTGTTGAGTAATGTTCTTACACTTGGCCATCAATGTGAACTTGTGTTAGTGCAGGGCTGAGCGGTGGTGGGTCCCCGCTTGCGGATATAGCCTTCGTTCCTCCCTTCACTATGGCGCAGCCTACTGGGGGTATTTAGTCTCCCTGATGCAGCTTCTTTGCCTACGGCGCAACTTTCTTCCGCTGGGTCTAGTCCCGTTGTTCGAGATTAAGGCAATCTGAAAGTGTTTGCAGCTCCGAATTTCAGGAGCCAAACTTTCGAAAAAAGCAAGTACGTTGTTGAGAGGTTCTCTGGGGTTGCATAGGAGCGCTGATTTTCTCTTGCTCTTTTCCCCGTTTAGCTTAGCCTGTAGGGTATGGCCGGTTGGCACAGCCCCGATGTCCATTGACTCTAAGTGGCCACTTGGCTCTTTCTTTCAGCCGAAGGAAGTAGATTGTGCTCATTTGCTTACTAAACTTCAAGTCCTCATCCACCGTCAACCGTCATGTTCTACTGGTTAGCGCAGCCTCATCCACAGGCTTTTCATTGGGTAACACGTGAGACTTTTTACCAGATGTAGTGTTACTGCGTTCATATCAGCTTGCAGGCCCGCTTTTGCCGCCCCAGTAGGCGCTGCGCTACCGTCAACTTTATCACCCCAAGGTCTTGTTCGGCTTGTTGCCAACAATAATTAGCATGTTGACCTTCTAAGGAACGTGGTCAAAGCTAGACAATTGTACTAGGCAAAGGTGAGGCCCTTCTGCATCCGCATATAGCGGATGAAGGGGTGAAGGACTGCATTCACCATGCGTTGCTGCTAGCTGCAGCGTACCATCCAATATTTGTTCGTAGGGATTTGGTTTACTTCAGTCTAAATGGAAAACTATAGAGAAGCCAATAAGGTATTTTTTTGAAGGGCTTCCCGCACTCCCCAAACAGGATATTAGAACAGCCGAACCAAATAATGATTTTTCCGATAGTTAACTTTATACAAATGACTTGATGAGAATTCAAAAGTCTAACGTAGCCCTACACACCAACATTCAACTGCTGCCTGATTGGATATCGATCTAGGAGGGCCGTAGGTGGACACCAAAATGGCATACATGGCATTCATATCCCATCTCGCTAACAAATTCTGCTTATGGCTGGCCGGGGGGTTGCATTTAAGAGGCTTTTATCTACCACAACCTTCAGATTTTTCCAAGTGAACACTTAGCCACCGAGAATGTAGCGAGCAGTTAAGTACAATGGACCAAACCCCAGCTGCTATTCCCCTAGCAAGTTATCATCGACTTTAGGTTATGCTTTGCTCGTTTGTAGCATGCTAACACCGTTTTTCAGATAGGCTACAAGCCAGAGAAGCCAGGAACTGGGCATCTTAACGTGTTCCACTTATCTGATGCCGCAAGACTTTGGTGATCCCCTGTCGCATGAGCCCTCCAGGCTCACACTACCTCTCTCCTGCAGCATGATGCGTACACTAGTACAATAATATTCCTCAAATACAGCGAGATTACGCCTCCCATAAGCTTCTAGCAATGGGGACTGCTTGCCTTTGTGGTGCGATCTTCTCCACATTCTTGCACAGAAGTTAAGTCCTCGTACATGTTGGGTACAGCAAGCTGCAACGATCCATGAAAGCTTTGCGTGGGAAACACTTCACTCCACACACATCAAAATTTCTATTGACGTTGCTCTGAGTCTCAACGCGACTGCCACCTTGCGGAAACATCAAATGAAAAATTACGTTTTCTAGCAGAGCCTTGTTAGATGCAACGTTTTCCGCTTCCCCATCGATTGTAGATGCTGAGGGTTGTCACGTTTACCGTGAACTACTGCCTGGCTACGAGCAAGCTCTCTGATATTGCATTCTGTGCTTTCTGTAAGCAAGAGTTTGAGAAGAACTCTCTGCTGATGGAAGTCCAGTGGCGCAACAGCTACTGGGGCGGCAAAGGAGGCCTGCAAGTGAATGCAGTAGCTCCATGTCTTGCAAGAAGTACCTGATATATCACCCAATGAAAAGCTTAAGGATGAGTGGTGGGTTTAAGCTCACCATGAGAACCTGACTGCCCAAAGGTTTTCGCGAGTAACTGAAGATTTAATGAGCGAATTGAAGATGTACCCCTCTCCCCCTAGATAAACAGAAACATGTGTTCCTTGCGGTGCGTCTCTTGCAGGGGAAATCGCCTCAATGATGGTTCCACAATAAGGGGGAATTCTTCCGCCTGCAGAACCTCTAAAGTTCAAGCTTTCGTAGGCACTCGGACACATCGATGTATCCCGACATCAAGTCAGAAACAAGCCGTGGAAGAGCCGGGGAGGCTCAAGTATGGCAATTTATCGATAACTCCGTATATCGATAAATGCAAGACTGTGGATTTCAAAAGCCACAACGTAGGCAAGCAGCAGCTTTATCAGCGGCTTATCTCGAGTCCACATGAAGTGCCAGGACAGGTGGTTGCAGAATGGGCAGCGACTTCGCGATTAAACAGTTAACCGCTGAATCCGCAAAACATAGTTGATATGAGGTTCAGAGAGCGAATGGGAGCACTCCTTGAGCTTTGGAGGCAATTCTTGTGCCTTAGGATGAAAGCAAGAACCAAGCAGCAAACCAGAACCTGGGTGTAGAGGGCTACGATACATTTACACACCTACTACACTAGTTATGCTTGACTAAGAACTAGGAAAGAACTGACTAAATGGTATGTCCTCTAGGATATCTTGCTTACTATAGTGTGTTTCGATACAAAAAAATCCAGTGTTGTATGGGTGTGCGGTACTCGCTATCTGCAACTAGCTGTAAACACTCGAGGCTTTTAGAGGGAGCAGCTACGCTAGCCCTAGATGAACCTGTCGCCTGCTGTGGGAACTCTGGGGAGCCAGGGCATAAAGAGACTTCCGAGATACATCCAGCGATTTTCTTGTACTGAGTCTAAATTTCAGTGTCTTAACTAAAACCTTAAAGGAGTATACTAATGGGTCACGGGGGTTCTTTTACGAAGCAGACTGTATTTACACGTACAAGCAACTGGACAATATGCCTATTAACTTTATTGAGGAGAACTCGAAAGCGAAGCTGGATCTGTGGCAAAGGTTCGTGCTTATACTACGACGCTGCATGCTCATCATGAGATGCCTTGTGTTGGCTAGAACAGCCCAGTGGCCATCAGTCCATACAGGGCCTACGGTGTTATTGACAGGCGAGTGAATTTTGACAATTAGACTTGATCGAACGAATCTAAAAGCTGATGAACGCTAGCTGAACGTTCATGGGCACAACTACGCACTACTACCGCGCCCCGCGTGTTGGTTAGCTAAAATGGATGACGGATGTGGCGTTACAATACAAACGCTAATGAAAGTTTCGTGTGAAGTACCAAGATCGCAGTAGTACCTCAGAGATTCGACAAAAAAAGAAAATCAAACACTGCTTTCACGTCGCTTGCCACAAAGACAAAAGTCAACGCTTCAAGCCATCCGAACCGGCTGTCTAGACAGCAACGCTTTGGGCACATTGGCCATATCCACTGTTTTTAGTTGGAGCAGGCGAGCGGCCCTGAAAACACAAGCGGCACGGCAACGTCAGGACGCAACCAACAGATGACAGACGTGCAAGCGTAATCAAGCAACAGCATGCACCAACAGATGGTGACTGGCAGGCGCCGTGACTTGTCACTTTATTTTGGCTGAATTTCACGTGCTCACCTCTCCTCTGGTCTTCCACCGCACTTCCAACCCAATTGCCGGAGCTTTTCCTTAACTACTGCAACAGCACATGAATGTTCAAATACAGTGACCCCTCATCAGCCTCGCATCGCGTGTAGTCAAAGGTCAAGCAGCCTCAAGAATAAGACAACGCGAAAAAAAGGGTGAAAACCCCCCAAAATGACGCCACACGAAAAGTTACAAGTAGACAACAAGACAAGTTCTAGGAGCTGACTGCAAATGCGCGCGGACCTTCAGCATCCACGGCCTTGGTCAGCTCCTCGACGGTGTTGAAGCGGCGCACGTCCAGTTGCTCTGCCTCTCGTGCCACTTTTTCTGCTGCTGCCTTAGCTGCTTCTGCCTTAGCTGCTGCTTGTTGCTGCCCTTCTGCCTCCCGAGCTGCCGACGCCTTCAGGCGCATTTGCTCTAGCTGCCGCATAAGCTCCACAGCAGAGGCACCCGAGTTTGGACTCTGCGAAGAACACTTCTTGCTGCTGCTGCTGTTGGCTGTAGGGACTGTACTCGATCCATGGGCGCGTACCACAAGAGCAGCTGACGCCCGGCTGCTGCTGCTGCTGCTGCTGCTGCTGCTGCTACCTGTCTTGCTGCTGCTGCTAGTGCACCTGAATGGCAGCTTTCCAGCGTCTTCAGTGCCAGTGTTACCACCACTGATGGGAAAACTGCCGCTCCCCCTAATATCTTGCTCGCCACCAAAAAGCTTCTCTTCTGCATCCGTATCCGACCACTGGTCATCTTCGCTATCAAGCTCGACAGCATCACGCAGCTGAGCGAAAAGAACGCGATTCTGCGGCACAGCCGCCCGAATGCGCTTTTCTGCGTCCATCTCCCTCCTGCAACAAAATTAAGCAGCAAAAACACAGCTCCTTGCGAGGTACAAGCTCTTCGAACAGGGCCTTAAAGCGCACACGTACAGCCCGCTGGCCAATACACTACGAAGACAAGATTTATTGGGAAGGACTCGATACACGAAACTTGCACAAAGAAAATAGGAAATAAAAGAGCGAACACACACACAGACACACACACACACAGACACACACAGACACGCACACAGACACACAGAAACACACACACACACACAGGAAGACACACACAGACACAGACACACACACGAACACAAACACACCTTAGAGCGCTCTGCCGTTGAAGGCCATGAGCAACGACGTCGGGCATCTCCGCAACTTGAGCGATCTGCTGTGAAAGAAAAGCGGCGTCCAAGGAGACAGTTGGTTTCGCTTCCTGAGAAAAACACATCCGAGATTAAGCCGCCACGCGCCCGCAGCTTCGCAGACATTCGAAAGAGACGCTTCGGCAGCAAGGAACCCAAAGGCCCTCTCTGAGCAGAGAAGGGCGAAAGGCGCACGCTGGCGCTGTGCTGCATGCACGTACCGGTACCTTTACTTCTTGCGTTTCTTGCGTCAGCACAGCGACTAAAGCATCTTCCTTCCGTTTCTTTTCCATCCATGCCTTTATGCGATCTACCACTTGGGCCTGTCGGATTCTCCTTCCAGTGAGATCTCTGCAGCACGCGAAACAGCCCGCAAAGCTCTGTGTGCAACAGCGAGCTAGAAGCTCTACGGTAGGTCACCTACCTACAGCCGTTGGACGCTGAAGAAGGGACGAGTCCACTCGGCTCAACCTTGAACGGCTATCATGCGACTCTGGGGTAGCCTCCGCGCAGTGTCCACGAAATACCATTCCTACCTGCATGCGTCAATAGAGAAATTGGCGCGTTTCTTTCTTCGCTGCTTCTTCAGAAGCGCACCAAAACCACCCTTCCCACCCGGGAGCCTCAGGAGAAGCCATAGCGAACACAGAGGAGCGCCGCATCCCCTTTCCAGGGAGTTTATTGCAGCTGCTCGGAGGGCAAGGCCCTTGGAAGCCGCCACTGCAGCAGCAGCAGCAGTCCCTATAACCGTTTCAAGAGGTACAAAGGTGGTGTGGCACACCTCCCGCTTCTGCAGCACCAACCGCTGCTGCGAAGCGGAAGCTGTCGGCAACCCTGCACGCGCCGCTGCTAGGGAAATAAGGAAGGAGCCTGGGAGATAGAGGCCAGCCGAAGACACTTCAAGCTTGGTGGACGCATGCAGTCTTGATAACGGCGATGCGCCCTGCCCGCTAGGAGGCATGGCCAGCGAAGGTACCTCGTCAGCCGCGAGGAGAGGCAGCTCCTTCAGCGGCATGGAATACGCCACCGTGCCGCCCCAAGGCAGATTGATGAGAAATGTAACACTGCACGATGTGCTGTCTTCCACAGGCTGCAGCCGAACGCAGTCCGACGCATGCTGATCCCTCCTGCTGCCAACACGTTTGCACCCATCACCCGTGAGGTCGGGAGCTGGGGGCCGTATTACCGCTGAAGACGCCATTGCGCTTCTTAGGCTTGTGCAGATGTTGCGACTTAGTCTAGTGCGGCAAAGGCTACTGCTGTGCTGTCTGCGATGGAGAATCACTGGAGGGGACTAGAACAGTTGCTTGAACGCAACGGCTCATGTGGCGTGCCTAGAAGCTTCCACTAAAAGCAGTTCATGAAACGCGGGTTTTTAAGCGATTAAAGGCACAGAGTGGGAAAGTAGGCAGAGAAGGGGGTCCAAAGCCAACAGGTTCTGTGGAAGCGAAGTCGGGGCGCATGCAGGGTAAGCCACCCATCAAGGACTAACGGATGCACAGGTACGAGCCTAAACTGCCTGTTGGATTCTGTTTCAAGATGAAAACACGCTCTCATATTTATCTCATACTGCCGGCCACTGCTCTCGCTGTATCGCGCTGGTTCGCCTCTGTGGACACCGCAATCCCGTCGGCATCTAGCAGCAGCAGGTCCAAAGTCTCCCTTCATCGTGTATTGGAGCCTACGGCTGCTGAGCCAGCAGTCTATTTCTGTTGAGAAGCCTGCCAGAGGTGGATTTGCAGGTGACAGGAATTGCTGGTGGGGGGTCATCCTGCCCAACACTGCGCACACTGATGAGTTTCAAGGCGGCCCCATGCCGCAATACTTCCTGTTTACTGCTTAAAACCAAGGAAATCTGTCCCTCTGGACTGTCGTGAGCTGGGCAGAAGGCGCAACTGGGAGCTAAGAAGGCCCACACAACTTTTTCAGTGCGACAAGACACGGCGCCTAGTGGGTGCCAACAAGGGTCATACCTGTCACCAGGTATTCTCGTTTGTCCCTCAGAACACGAGGTCTACCAGAAGGCTTGTAACTGTGCAGCTCTTTTACCCTTCGTAACACCCTGCGAAAGCATTGGCGGATACACCAGCTGCAGGCCAGTTGTTTCAGGGGCCTGTGAACGCAAGTGTTGTTTCGCCAACCTCTCCACACCCGCTTCCCGGGGGACCAAGGGATATTTCTGCGAGTACACTACAGTAGTGCAGGGCTGTGTTCAAGAGGATCGCCGTGCTCGTTCTTGGTGGAGGGTCCATACACGAGCAAGATGGCATTCAATTTCGGACGATCTTCGGCCCAAACGGACCAGGTCAACTACTACTCAAAGAAGAATTCGTCAGAGCTACCCAATGGTCCCTCTGACTCAGTTTCTCAGCTCGCATGGGTAAGCACTGAGGCCTCCTGGTCAGGTGCAGAAGGAACACCCGCGGCTGTACATGGGGGGCAAGAAGTTTGATCTTCTCCACCTCGCCTTTCTTTGAGAGTTTTCACTGCAAGTGCTGTGGAATTGTGACACTCAGTCTGGAGACGGGCAGGCTCTTGCGTGTGCCTCCTGGGACCGAACCTGCCGGGTGTGGCAAATCACGAATCAGCCTGCGCCGTTCGGCTCGACTGCCCCCATCGTGTACAAGGGAAACCCTCAGTCACTTTTCACTGAGACGGCTCCTGTCCTTTCTTGCTGTTTTGGGGATGTAAGTGCTGCTGAGGCTCGAAAGAGCTGTAGGAGCCCACATGATGGAAATGTGCATGTGCAAGTCGCGCGCCTTCGGCGTTGGAGTGTGGGGGTTCTTGTTCCTACGGTACTTGCGTATTTTTCGCATGAATGTTTTAATTTCAGACCACGCAAATGCTGCTAACAGGTGGCTGTGATAAACAGGTCAAGGCTTACGACCTCATCAGCGGCCGATCTACTGGGCAGGTTATTGGTCAAGTAAGAAAACGCTACACTGCCAGATCAGCTTCAAGTGTTTAAGGTGTCCAGTAACTTCATGCCCTAGCCCGTGAAACCGATCTGCCTCTAGATTGTTAGATGGCGTATTTATACCTGCGTTCGTGTGTGCGGATTCAGCATGATTCCCCCGTGAATTTCGTGGCGTGGAATCCTATGTTCAAGCTGGTCATAAGCAGTGGGCCTTGCCGTGTGGCAGCTGGTGGCTCTACATGTTAATGCGTGTAGTAGTACTACCAGTGATAGAGTTGCTTAAAGGATATCGTCTTAAGTTTCGAGCAGTGCCGCTTGTTCCTTCCTTCGCAATGCACTTGTCGCGGTAGATATACTGTAGCGGTGCTTCTCATCGATCTCAGAAACATGCCTGGCCTGCTGCAAGCTGCCTGCCTAGACCTGTATGCGCGTAACTATGTAAGTGTTGTTGATGCTGCAGCTAGCTGGGATGGCGTTGTAAAAATGTGGGATGGAAAGCAGCCTAATCCCGTTTGGCAGCAAAATGTTGGCGCAAAAGTAAACCGGCACTTCAGCTCTACACATATACTGCCCTCGTGATCACATTTCTTGCAGCCTCTGCCTCCAGTGTCAGTAACGCTATTTTTGCTGGGATGCGAGACGGCAAAAGCTCGGCGTATTTCTGAGTATGCCAGTTGTTCTGTGTGTGTTTCTTCCGCGTGCATATGCAAGAGGTCTGCATTGTACGGATTTGGCTGTTTGTCTGCTTCTTCGCGTGTGCAGATATGCAAAGCAGCCTTTCATGACTGTTTCTTGGGAATATGCGACACTTTCCGCGACTGCTTGATTCTAAACATCCCTCGTATTCTGCAGCAGGGCCAGTCTGCCTTCGCTGCTACAACTCCCAGTGCTGCAGCTGCATCCTCGATACCTATCGTTACGCGGGCAGGGTCTCAGTACCAGAAAATGCAGAACCGTTCTATTGCATTCTTCCCCGACGACGCTTCTCAGTCTCCAGGAGCTGTTATCGGCAGCGTGGAGGGCAGGTGCAGCATTGTCTACATCAAGGAAGAGCACAAGTGAGTTTCGAGATCGTGGGCTCACTTCAGTGAACATCTACGGCCACCGCAGCACAAGTGTAATGGAAAGGCAAGAATCCTGAGATTCAAACGCCTTTTTTAGTGGCGCTGCTTCCTGGATCAGTGCAAGTGCGAGGCTTGGAGCCTTCCTGCCGGGTGTATTTTTGCAGAAGCATGGACTTTAGCTATCGGTGCCACCGCCAGGATGTGCCTCAACAGGGAATGCAGATATTCTCTGTGAATGCGATCTCCTTTAACAAGCTCAAATCCTTCAGTACTGGTGTACGTCTCATGGAAGTCCTTCGTAGTATGCTTTGTTCGCGTTCGCCTGCTGAAGGGGTATGGTTCGATAGTTTCAAGGTGGCCCCACTCGAACGGAAGGGTGCAGCGACAACGCACCGCTTTCGCTGGCCTTTCCTCTCCAAGACACCTTTTTCATGGCTGTACTGCTGCGATTCAGGGTGCTGACGGTGTGATCATCTGCTGGGATAAAGACTCAAGGCAAAAGTAAGTTTTTTGTCAGGATACAGTGCGCCCATATGCTTTGTGCATGTCGCATCCATTGGGAACATGCTATGCTACAATGAAATTGCGATGATGTTTTGGATGACAGACTCAAGACTTTCGAGTCCGCGGGCGCTCCGATCGCGGATTTGAAGTACGATCCGACGTCCACAGCACTGGCGTATGCGGTGTCGTACGACTGGAACAAGGCAAGCCCCACAGCTCCCTCTTCGCAAAGGGTGTCAGGTTCAAATTGTGCCAGTGCCACTGAGCTTAAGAAATGCTGTGCAGCAGGGCGTTCGGTCTCCACTGTGCTTTTTCAGGGCCCAGATCAGCAGGAATTGGCCAAGGGGCACCACGTCTACATCCACGCAGTAGGGATATGCCCTTACCGCTCCTCGATTACGCCATAGTACCCTTGTCTCTCGGAATATCTTCAAAATTCCTCCTGTTGATCTTGGCAACAAGCTACGGCTGCGAAAAATTCGTCTTAAAATTTGCGCGTTTGGTTCCTTGCAGATGAAGGAAGAGGATCTCCGCCCTCGTCCGAAAACTTCACAGCGACGCTAAGGTTTTGGGCTTCTCGAATAGCTTTCCTTTTCCTGTCTAGCTCCTGTGGGATACGACGTAGGTGTCGAACACGGCATGCAGCTCGATGTCTTTAGGTCTCATGTATGTGGAAGTAGTGAATTACCGAGACACGGGCGGCTTCGTCAAATCATTCGGCACCCATGGCCCTCATAACGTCCTACTTCAAGGGCGAGGCACAAATGGGGCGTGATATCTTGCCAACTAGATCAGTTAGTTCCACAAGAAAGATTGACTTGGGAGGGGGAGGGGGGCGGAGGGGAACCCTTTTCGGTGTATTTTAATTCGAAAAAGGTGGATTCTTCTGATGTCCACGCATTGGAACTGCCGTGTGAACGCTTGCATATCAACTTGTTTCACTTACGATTACTAGCTTACGGCTTACTTCAACAGAGGCGGAGCCAAGAATAGAGTAACGTGACACGGGGTAACACGTAGGCTTTCCATGGGCAAGACGCGGGGTGACTGCAAGAGGCCATATTTTAGCGACCCCATGTATGGTCTGATAGCACATCATCACTTAGACACCAACGCTACTTAAGTACGTGGCTATTTAAATTGGTTACATGTACTTTCTAGCGATCGCCTATGTGAGGGGCAGCATTTCTCTTAGAATGGCTGCTGGCGACGACTGATGGGTGACACAATAGGATTCAAAAATATACCGTTTTTTGACTTTCCCGATATCTCTTGAGTTGAGTGAGCAGGGCAAGCGAACGAAAAAGTACTAAAATGCTAGAACATGGCAGCAAGTAGGACAATTTGAACAGGATCCCTCCGCAGCCAGGTTGGACATCGCTGCATGGTGACTGTTACTTTATTTACAGAGCACCTCAGCAGAAAAAATGCCGGAGAAATATCTATCTTGTTGGAAACTATTACACTAAAATTGTGAAATATGGTCAGAACTTTGTAGCTGCATTGTACAGCTTGGTCACCGCAGGCTGGCCATACTCAGTGCCTCCTGTAGTGGGGCCCTTAGAGCCCATGGTCCTGTAAAAGTGTAACATAATGGTGTAATTAATTGTACTTTTCTCGGCAGGATAGGGCTCTTTATCGTTCTCTCGTTGATGGATGAAGGAGCCAGGGCTTCCCTGGACGATGTGAACGACAGCCAACAACAGAAACGAGGATATTTTTCTCTGTGTGACTCTTGAAGTCCGCGCAGGATCTCCTTTTCTGTTTTGTTTCAAGCATTGCTGCACTCAGTTATCCTTTTGTTGGAATTTCTTGGCCCTGTGTGAAAGCCAATGCTCAGTTTTCTGCATGCGGCGAGACGTTTCCTAGTTGAAAGTTACACCGTACAGGGAGGAATCCTTTACGGGAAAACCCCTCTCACTTATGCCCTTTCAAGCACAGCTTTTTCAGGTTCAGCCCTCGCTCTTGGTGGCCCGGTAACCCGAGCGGCATATGCGCAAGCAACTGCGGCATCTGTGCAGTCAGGTTTTTCTACCCCTTCAACTAAACAAGTTGACAAGGTTTTAGGCACCCACGTTCAGCCGTGTGCATGCTACTGGAATCCGTTTGATGCTCTAGGACGACGCCTTGCGGAGCGCACATTCGAACATTCAGGCGCAGGGAGAAGCGTTGTGCGTACGACCTTCCGACTAATGCAGAACTCAACAGATCCACAGGCCGGATTTGCTCCTGCAGATACGATTGCGCAGGAAAAACTGTCGACAACGCAGAACGATCCCTTAATTCAGTATGTAGTGCTACGCCAGGACTTAGCCACTGAGCTTAAGTGGCCTCTCGGCGCCGTTGTTGCCCAGGCGTGCCATGCTGCGTGAGCCCCCCTATTACCGCATCGGCACACCACAGAAATACCAAAGCTCGTATTTCTGGATCTATCGCAATGCCAACGCAGCCATCATAATAGTCGAGAACTGTCGCTGCCTCAAACTGCGGGCGCGGATGCTGTTGCCGAGCGCCCTGTGTACACTATCAGCATCCTAGCAGCTTCTGGGATTTTGGTGCCGTTTCTGAATTCATGCACTTTGCATTTTCGAGCTTTGCAGCTGCCACATTTGTGCTGCTGCATCATTGCAGGGTGGATGCTTTGGGTCTTGCCATGGAGGCTGACAAGGAGACCGCAAGAAGATACTTGGCTGCAGGGAGCAGCATGCGGACCGTGGTATTGCAAGTTGCAAATGAAGCTGAATTGCTGAAACTTCAGGACAAACTGAAAAAGAACCACATTGGCCACAAGCTGTGGCAGGAGGAACCAGAGAATATTCCTACAGCGCTAGCCTCTGTGCCCATACAGAAAAGTGCTGCCCGCGTTTTTAGAGGCTTTAAGCTTCTCAGCTAAGAGCGTAATGACCTAAGAAGGGTGGCTTTGGTACCCACAACCAGGGTATGCTTTGCCACCCTCCTCTCATCGCAAAAGGTGACAAACTTTGCTTTGCGTGGCTTGATAGTCAACGCGTTGCTAGAACCACTGTACAGAAGTCAGGCATCCGCATAGTGGACGATACACACTGCTCGCCACGAAGAGCACTGCCCTCAGCTCAGACAAGTATTCCATTGGGACCCATACGGACCCTGAACTGGAAGGAACTCAGTCAGTGCGTAGAACAGTTGATTATGCCTGCTGCCCCGTGCACATATGATCGGCTTTGTATTTGTGTCTCGGCCGACGGCGCCTGAAGGATACAAGAGGGGCTGCACAATTAGTATCCGATGTGGAGATGTCCTTAGTCATTTCAAAAGGCATAAGGATCTATTTTTTACATTCCTTCTGGTACAGTCTGCTGACAGCGGAACCCGCTAAAGACAGGGCGAGTTAAAGCTGCAACGGTGCACTGCCTCAAAGGAGATGTGCTTGAATATAGTAGCCTAGGTACCATTTTAAGATATGGAAGAGATAAAGTACGCGTTTGAGGCACGCTATTCACAAATGTATTCTCTGCAGCGCTGTGTTGTCGAGCCGCTCTGAGGACGCTCCGGTCTGGGCCTTTTGCATGTGGAGCCGTCGGCGGCACAGGGTGAATGCCTCGTACCTCGAACTCAAATCTATTTTTAAATGATTACCAATGTGCCACACTGTCTTGCTACAGATGATAACTCATGCAGCTCAGGAGAGCGCAGGCGAAGCCGCACGTCGGCTTCCTGCGGTGTGGGCTTTCAAGCATCTTGCCCACCCCACGCGACTCCTGAGGGTAAACCAAAATTCCTGTCCACCAACAGAAGCTCCCAGTGCACGCACTGTGGTCTGTGGGCCGCGAAATAGATGTGGGGTTACTTTATGGGCAACTCCACCAATCGATGCTCTGTGCACCAGCAGCCGTACAGCCCAGGCGAACGGTCGAGCTTCTATGAGTCATAAACGAAGTTTTAGACGCCACTCCAAACTGAACAGATGGTTGAGGTATTGTAAGTTTGACCCTTTAAGATGGGATACAAGCTTTCGGCAGCAGTGCAACGAGGGCGTCAAGCTCAGCCACATTGGCCAATCACGTTCATGCCACCATGCGTGCCTCGAGCAGCTGGTACAAGTCCGGTCCTTTTCGATAATGGATCGCTATCACAGAGTGGGTTTTGACGGACTGCACCAGCAGCATTTTGTACTTGGGTGGAAGGATCAGAGAGTAACGCGAGACTCTTCGGTCGACGGATCTTGCAAAGCGTGCGCGGTTTTCCGATCTTCAGGCACGAAATGAGATTGTCAAAGGCTCCTCGCTTCTTTCAATCCCAGAAGAAGCTACCGCTCAACAAGCCACTAACGATGCCGTGGGTAAGCAGGCAGTGAGCACTGGATTCTACTGTATTCTTCCATAGCGTCAGTTTCTAAGCAGCGTACAGCCCGTTTGAGTGGAACTCTTGAGAATCTGTCGCTTTGAGGTAGAGACTTTACGGCTGATTGGCGTTATGTGAAGCTATCGTTGATCGTGCTCTGTGTAGAACCCAGATCTACATTCGGTGCATCTCGCCCTCGCCTCCCGGTACATCGGCCATTGGTGAGAGGTGTAATTCCCGCTGAGGTACGGCTTCAGCAGCAGATCTCCCCTTGCTAATTAGCTTGAGACAGTTCTTGTATCTTGTGTTGTCAGCTCAAAATGTATGATCCAGAGCGATGATTTTTGTGACTGCGTTTTTCGGGGCTGCTCCCTCAGGCGCAATTTGTTTCTTGGGATGCTCCCATCCAACCTTCACACCCCAAGTCCCTCACCGTTGCTCTCATCGGTCCTCCAAATGCTGGGAAGAGCTCTTTGCTAAATGCATTTCTCGGCGTTACTGTTTCGGCTGTATCCAACAAAGTGAACACAACTAGGTGAGACAGAACCCTCGCCAGCAGACTGACTATGCCTAGCCTGGCAATTGGAAAGGAACAACTCATGCTATAAGTGTCTTCTTTGGGATTGCTCGCTCTTTTGCCCGCAGAACAGACTTCCGTGGAATGGTGACGAAGGGAAATAACCAACTCATATTCGTCGATGCCCCAGGTTAGATTCGTTTGCATGCTCACGAGTAGAAACGCTCCTAGGCAAAAAATAAAGGCGCACGCTGCAATTTGGTAGGAACAAGTGGGCCTCGAGGGTTGGTTCAACCGGCACTGATGAAATGAGCGCAATTGTGGGGTGGAATATTACAAGCGCAATCACTGTGCCCGTTCGGCTTGCGCATGCTCAATGCAGGCATCATTGAATCTCATCCGAAAAAGACATTTTGCAGGGATCTTGTGAATGCCGCATGGCGGGGCTATGTAGGTCATTTAACATAAGCCGTATTCCCCTTTACTTGCCTCTGATCGGACACTGAATCTCTGCGCATTCAAGGCGTGCTTATGCTGGCGAGTGATGTACTAGGAAGACGCCGACTTGGGCATTCTCGTTGTGGATACGGTCAAGCGTCCCACGCAGAATATTTTCAATGTAGTTCGCGCAATTGCGCCGAAGCCGTCTCTTGCGCTATCCGGATTTCAGCACTCTGGCAAGCTTTTGAAGACACGTCAACGATGCAGTCTCAGTGCTTTTGCAATGTCATGAATTCGACACCTCAAAACATTGCCCTTGACGTGATGCTTTCTGTCTTGTTCACGCGCATATATCCTGGGCCGAGGTGCATTTTGTGTTGCGCAGGGTCTTACGGACCAGGCGACTTCACAGCGCGCTCACGCGAGGAGCCGACCAGTGTGGTCGCATGTTCTCCATCGTTATATGAGATGCGGGAGGCCGGAATTTCGGGAACTTTGAGGCAGCGATTGGCCCTTGACAGCAGCTATGCTGAGGTGGATGGCGGCGCACGCACAATACCCATTATTTTATGCCTCAACAAGGTACAGGATCGCAAAGTGTGAGGGTTCCCAGCGCTGTCAGTTGCTGATAGGATTCCTCATGGCCTAATCGAATGCTAATACGTGCGTATTCAGATTGATCTGGCATCGCATCCAAGATGGATTTATGCCCGCGAAAAAGAATTTGGGTAGGAAAATTTCCTGAGCAACGGCGGGGTAACGATACGTGCAAGTTTGCACCACAGTATGCCCGTTTACTCTGTCGAGCAAAAATGACCGTGTGCTACAGGTCCCACGGACATTTTCAGAGGGCATTTCACGTTTCTGCTAAATATAGACGGGGGACAGAGTTGCTCATGGATTACCTCTTCAACCAGGCTGTCTCGCGACCCTGGACGTATCCTTCAGATATGGTGGGTGGCAGCTCGCACTAGTAGCAAGGTGCAGCCAGGTAGTGACAAATAGCTCTGAATGAGCTCGTCCTAATGACAATTGACTGCTACACTTGTAATGCAATGTGAACGTGCCAGCGGACAAGCCTGTCAAAGGTACAACAAGTTGAGGAACTAATACGGTAAGTCGGACCAAAGGTTACGCAGGGCCCTCCTTGAAACCACCTCAACACTCTACACTTCATGGACCAAGGAGTTAAAGGCATCAGATCCACGGATGTGCTGCAGTGCTTTGCTGCTTTCACAGGACATACTTGTTTTGCTGGTTCAACAAAGATGTCCCTTATCGTGTGACACAAGAAACAGTTGGATGGGCTACCCAAGAAGATGGCTCGGTGGTGATTGAGCAGGTATGCTTGGAGCTACCGATCGTTGTGACAGCATGTGAATTTTCCACGGCTGTCCTTGTATATGATCGTAATCGATGGCCCCCTGCTTTGCGTAACACTTCCTGCAGGAGCTGCTAGTGAAGAGCGACCAAGTGGCGAAGATGATCTGTGGGATTAGGGGACGCATTCTTTTGCAAATGCGGAAGAACGTCACCTACAAGCTTGAACAGTTATGGGGACACAAAGTGTTTTTGTACATCCACGTAAAGGTAGCAAAGGGTTGAGGACAACATATGCCCCCACGATGGAGGAATCACTTGAATATCGTGTTTTTTTGTGGCTCGGGTATCTTCCACCAAGCTAAAATATTACTTTCAAAAAAGAAAGGACTTATTTTTAAAAGGATTTTAGGTTTCTGGAGCTATTCCTCGACAGTGTAACTCTTTGTCATCAAATTGTTCAGAGAGTAGTAGACTCCGACAACAGAAGCAAGGTAGACCCCTGCTAGCGTCAAAAGGATCGTAGCAGTCCAACTCAAACCTGAAATACGAATGACACCTTAGTGACACAGGCGGAACCTCTCATACGAATACTTACCAGTGGCTGCACGAGGGAGATACTGGTTTACTAGATCCACTCCGGCTGCCACCGCTGCGGCAGGGGAGTCGGTCGCAAGGAATACGTGATTCATTGAACGCTGGACATGTGCCTTGAATGTGGGACTTGCAACGCGTGCATCGACATTTTCTGGGATTGCCCATCAAGGTATGGCATGCGTTTTGAAAGGTCAATATGCGTCGAACCTCTGGTGGCCAGGCTGACGGTTTTGAGGTTCTTCACAAAGGCCAAAACAATTCCATCATGGCACCCCTTGTTGCCCACACCCCAGCGTCTGGAAAGGGAGCTTCCGTTCAGAATGCTCATCACAAAAAGTGGAACTCTCGAAATACCTGAGCAACGATTCGGCAAAACGGTCCGTCGCCTCTTGTGGTGTCTCGTTCTCGTTTACAACAATATCGGATGCTACGGCGACTGCAACCTGTACTCGAAGATTATTAGAGTAAAACCGACGTAGCTGAACCGTTCCTAACCTGGTAGTACTTCTGTGAGTCATTACAGTTGCTCTGAGCAGTATCGCGTAGTTTGAGCAGGCGAGCCTCAACAAACGCTTGTTCCTGTGGAGAAAGCAGCTGGTCCGGATCACAAATCCACGAATGTGATAGACTGTATGTACATCAGCTGTCTTGTTTGGTGGGTAACGCATGACGAAGAGAATAATGAGTTACCTAGAAAATGCAACGCATTTTTCAGGCTGCTCAAAAGGATTAGGAAAAGATATATCTGTATGCATGGCGACGTCGAATGTTTGGTCCAAGTGCCTAACGGGGATTGACATACAACCCAGAATAAATTGCAAGTTCGAATACAGCTTCTTCGTACGGGCGCTGGTTTTTTCGTAGAGGTGGTCTTCCAGTAGCTGGCCACCATACTTCTGAGGTCAACTCTTCTGCGGAAGGTGCGAAGGCAACTTGTTTATCGAATCGGAATGGATGCCCGATCTGTGTGTAGCCGTCAGCGATGGCCTTTGCGTAGACCCTAGTGACCTGGGCGCTGCAGAGGGCGAGAAAAAAGACAATCATCCACATTATGAGGGTAGCATCAGAAAATCCCGTAGAAGAGCCTTGGACGAAGCACTGAAATCAGTGACGTGGGTTCGGAGCGTCCGCTGCAGTGTTTATTTCAGGTGAGCATACACCAGGGCTGAGGTTTGGTATTCGTGGTGATGATCATCATTTTCTTGTCGTTACTATTGATGCCACGAAAAAGTGCAAGCTACAGAATGGCTAAAAAGATGCCATGTCTGGTAAAATGCAGCGTTTCAAACAGCAGTATGTGTCGCGCAGTAGTTGGTGAGCGTCCATGCAACACGATCCAGCCGGTTCCAGGTGGCACAAATCATTGTCTTGGCCCTTTTGATCCAAGGCGTATGTATTCAACGATATTTAACAAATATTTTTGGCTTGCAACGTTGTACGAGTCTCGATGTGCTGAACAGTAGTGTGTGCTTGAAAACGGCTGCTGGCTCGTTGAAGTAGTCTCGGTGGAGCAAACTATCGTGGGTCGTCGCAATATTCCGCGTTCTTTTTTTTGAAAACTGTGATAATTTGGTGTGTTATTCACGAAACGTCGTACGTCTTATGTTTCCACGGCTGCGGGTTTCCACTGCCACTCGAAGCGTACTCCATGCCCACATCAGAGAGCATTCCCCCATTGCTCTATGAAGCATGCTCCCGTCCATCCTTCCACAATTTTTGGCAATTTTAGCGCGCAGTAAGCGTACAATTAATAGCGATGCAGCTCTCGCCGGCTGTTTAGGGCTGTCAGAATGCCCATGTTTCAGTGAATTCAACAGACCTGCGTCGTCTTGTGCAAGTGACTTCCTGTGCATCCGAATTCTTCTCGGTTAGAATAGATAGTAATTTTCCTTGAGTTTTCATCTGGCTGACTACTTCCTGCAGAAGTCGGCAAGGAGCAGAGCCAGTGGACTGGGTCAGCTGGTCGGGGGCGCACACAGAATTTCGAATGTCGAATGTTTGGCACTTAACAAAGTGTCCGGCATATCGGTCAGGGTTTTGCGCTTAAGATATGTCTTGCGAGCAAGCCTGACTCATCTGCTAATTTCACAATCCCGTGTGCACACAGAAGTGATGGAATCCGAGAATCATGGCTTTCTTGCCACGGTGGGTGAGACCCCCGAGGCTGAATCAGAAGGAATTGTACGCTACACATGCTCAATAGCCTCGGACTGCATGAAAGCTCCCGATGAGCAGCATGTCCCGTGGTTGGATCACTTCAGAGACGCAACCTGCAAGGTTGTACGATATCCCAACACCTCAGCTATTCCTGCAGTAAGCCTCTGCCCTTAATGGTCACATCACTTAGTTAGAGGCCCTTCTTTGCCTGCATTTGTATTTTGCTTTCGTCACTGTCTGCTGTTGTGGATCTTTGCAACTGGGTGTGTCTACAGTCAATACGCTCCGTTTTCGATGTTTGCATGAATAAGAGTGGGTTAAGCGTGGCCCTCCCCAATGCAATTACGAGGAGCAGAAAGGCCCACGTGGAGCGATTTCACTTTATTGTGAAAGGATCGGAATGGCAGAAAAAAAAAGATGGTCTTCATGGACAGTCTGTCTCGACCGTGAACAGTCAAAACAGTCCTTTACTCCCCTTTCATGGAGGCATCCTGCCAGCTCCGCATCCCCTTCATGAAGGGCACCTTCGCATCTTGCAGGAGGTGGATCTACAAATGCCTTATTCGATGCAGGCAGACCAAACGGCTCCGCCTGCAACGAGCCTGAGCCGTGCCTACTTGGGGTCAATGCCTTACTACCTTCTTCCTGGGTTCGCAGGCCTCGTAGTAGCTGGAGTGTTGCTGCCCCTACTTCTGCTCGTTTTTTTTTTCCGGAACCACAAGTGCTGCCGCAAGTAAGGAGATCCTCAGTGCCTCCCTTATTCAACACATGCGTGTTCGCGTATCCACACGGTTGGCAACTGCGGGACTTTGTCTTTCTGTTGCGGCACAGAGTGTGCAGTTGTTTATGCTGGATCCGCCCGTGTTTCAAGCTTTCAAAGCGTCATTTCAATAGATTAGAGCATTATGACTCGAGCGGCAGCAGTACCACCGCTTCGGAGTCTCAGTGCCGCGGAGGCCGCCGCATGTTGGTTCCGCGGCGTTCCTGCATGGGTTTAAGGTATCTCACGCTTTTCCTGACGACCCTCATCGCGTTGGCGTGCTTGGGAGTGGGAATTTATGTCATAATCGATCTGCATGCACAGCTCTCCCAGCTCATGTGCTCCACGGCCCAGGCGGCCTCGACCATTATGAACGGGCAGGCATTTTCAAGTGGCGTAGAATCTTCGGCATCGGAGAGCCGCCGTATTCCCGCGTCGTACTTTTCGTCTTTTGTCGCTTCTTCCCCCTTTCTCGCTGCACCCTCCCTGGCCGTTGCCGATGACCTCACACAGGCGGACCAAAGCCTACTTCCTGCAGCGCCAGGTGGGGTTCGAACGCTGTCTGCGGTGTTTCTTCCCCCTGAGGAACTGAGTGAGCAACACCGTGGTTCCGACACTCGTCGCTCCATTCGCGGGAGAAAACCTTGCACAGAACCCTCTTCCCCCCCTCCCCCCCCCTCCCCCGGCAACCCTTGCCTTCCGTGCCTCGCTTTCGGTGCTTAGAAGGCAGTTTGCTTCGCACAGGGTTGTAGCCGTTATCCATAAAGGCGACCACAGTTCGCTCTAAGTCTCCTATGCTGGTACAGACATGGGCCGTACAGCCGCAAGACACCTGCAGGAAGCTCATGCTGAAGCAGCTGATGACGCAGCGGAGCCTAAGCGGACGGGATTTATTGGGGTAGTCCCCGCTCTGGACTAGTAAGCTAAGCTGTTCTTGCAGCCTTTGCTGCGGCAGCTGATGGGGAGGCCTCCACACATCTGCCTGCCTTGCCCATATCGGTTCCGTACAATGCCGCTGCTAACTACTGTGAAGCCTGCTGCTAACTACTGTGAATGCTGCTGCTAACTTATGTGAAACCTGCTGCTAACTACTGTGAATGCTGCCACTAGCTGCTGTGAATGCTGCTGCTAACTACTGTGAATGCTGCTGCTACTGGAACGGGGGTGGCTGCCAGACGCCTTGCAGCTGGTACTCGCGTTCAAGATGCAGCGGCTTACGCATGGGTGCTGGTGGTGTTGGGAGCGGAGCGGTGCTGCTGCTGCTCCCCACAGTGAACTCCTGAGAGAGCCGAGAGTTCGCTTCTGCAGCTACAGTCTCTCGTCTACGCAGGTTGGCAAAACCAGCGATGCCAACGGAAATAACAAGAGGAACCGTAGCCATGGCAAACGCCGACACCTGCGGACTTCAAAACACCTGATCGCGGTGCCGGCTGTTCGCACACGTCTTGTGTGATGATTGCGTCGCAGTTTCGAAAGCCTCCTAGCGGCTTTAGATAAAAAACGGCCAGATTTCCTTCCCAATGAGCTGCGACTTGGGGGTACCCTGGCAACCCGCATAAAGAAGAAGGTAGTGAATGTCAAGAAGGATCTCCGCACACTCCAGGAAGTGGGAGAGCACAGTGGCATGCGCCACGCTCGATGCACGAGGCCAGACGCCTGTAGTTTGAAATTCTTGGGATGTGCTGATGTTTAGAGCACGAAAGGCACTGTAGAGCTCAGTAGACAGCTTGTGTGTGTGTGCGTGTCTGTGTGTGTGCGTGTCTGTGTGTGTGTTTCGATTTGGGTGTTGCCCGGTGTTGCGCTGTGCACCTGCTTTATACGACCAGATGTTATTTAACCCACTGAATAGCGGCACCACGGTGAAACGCGTGCAAAGAAGCAGTGAGGCGCCTTCTCAACAGCCAAGCTACCACCTTTCGCTTGTGGCTGGAGGCTCCGCCTCCCTGCTGAGTTCGTGGGAAACCCTTGGGAATTTGCTTCCTGAGGGCCTCACAATGATAACGTCGGCATCAGAGCAACTTGCAGGTGAAATCGAGGATGTCTTGGCTCGAACAGGCACATTCGTGTCTGCAGAGCAGCTGCAGCAGGCGAAGGTAGCTGTCTACGAGACGCTGGCACAGGCCCATTCCGCCCTTGAGCCGCTACCTCGCATCAGCGAGCCGCTCTTCTGGGTGAGCAAACAAGGCACAGCGGATCCATTTTGCGTGCCAGGATACAGAGAACAAACGCAGAGAAGAGACTTGTGTGTCTCGGGTTTTCTCTCTCTGTCTGTATGCTTGTGTCTGTTTGTCTCTGTCTTTCTCTGTCTGTCTGTCTCTCTGTCTTTCTTTCTGTGTGTCTCTGTCTCTCTGTCTCTCTCTCTGTCTCTGTCTTTCTTTCTGTTTGTCTGTCTGCTTGTCTGTGTCTCTCTCTGTCTCTGTCTCTCTCTGTCTCTGTCTGTCTTTCTCAGTTTGGGGTTGCATCGGCGCGAACCCGAGGAACAAATGTGGGAAGAAGTTGCTGCAGAGCTTGCGTTGTGCTGCTTTTTGCAGGCCTTACTCGTCGCCTTCAGCCTACTGGCGTCCTTGCTGCTGCTCGCTTCTATGTACCTCTGCTGCATGTGCTGCTGCAAGAAGCAGGATCTTGTTGATAAAAAGGCTATGAGCTGCGGCTGCTCACTCTTGATGATTGTAATTGCCGCTGCAGGTGCATATCCACCTCCCAGTTGCACTGCAGAATGCTCTGCGTCTGTGCTAAACATTGCCACCATCAAGACTTATCCCTACAATCAAATTGCCATGTCTTTTCTTGTCGCTAGTTCCTCTCCATCATGCGCCTGCTCCGCGTATTGCTTTTGCATGTATCTGCGCACATATATATATATATCTGCATGTGTGCATGCATGTATATGTGTCTTCGTACGAATATGTGTATGTATATTCGAGTGGGAACATATGCATGTGCGCTGCGCTGCATGCTGCGTATACAGCTCTGGTAGCCAGTGGGGTTTTTCTGGCCAGTACGGCGCTGCTAACAGATGGGTGTATATACACTGGAGAGTTTGTAAAGGGGGAGGAGGACATTGATGATCTGCTGCGTTATTTCTGGCCAGAACAAGGGGGTGTTGAGGTTTCGGCAGGGGACGCTTCAAAGGCCTCCTCTCTCATGGCTCAAGTGCTGGCTGCCTGCTTTCTCCCATCCAAGGAGAGGAACCTGGTGACGGTTCTTGGAATGAATGGTCCTGCTCTATTTGCTGCTGCCTTCCTGCTGTAGAAAAGTACACCTCCAGTGGCTAATATGAGAGCACCTTTTGCGATTAGGCCCCCCGATGCGTATTTAGAGGGCTTTGTTCTGCGACCTTGTGTCTCTATTTCGCTTCCTCCGCATGCATGCGCATGCAGGCACCCATCTTTAAGCGAGTACATACATGCCAGTCGTAGATCCTCTGCGTCTTGTAGGGGTACCTGTAGGGGCCGCTGCCTGCGCGCGATGTACAGCGAGTCCTTTCTGCTTGCGACTTCTACATGTGTGCAAGTAATGGCGATTGCGAGCCGGTGATTTGCAAAAGCGCGTATGCGGCGCAGAACTTGTAAGCGCGGGGAAGGAGATGGAAAAGATGAGTAGCTGGGCAATGCAGAGCGAGGCGCGAGCGGCCCGGCTTTTATCTCTTGAGCTGCAGGATGCTGCAGCGGAGTTGCAGCTCTTGGAAGACACCTACTGGCTCTTCCTGCTCGATCCTGTCGCTCTAGAGGAGGAGGTGAGGGGACTGGACAGGCGTCACGCAGTGTCAGAAAGTTCGTGTCTGGTTTGTGCGAGCGAGCGTCTTTGCTGGCGGGGGGCGGGGGGGAGAAGGGAGCGCAGGTTTGGCCTCTTTGGAGGAGCGTGCGGGACGCTACTGCTGCAGCAGGAGCATCGAACTTGGAATGTTGTATGTGGACTGAAAATGGGGTTCGTGTGTGTGTGTGTGTGTAGGCACTGGAGGATCGGCTATTTACGTACAGAGAAATTCTCTGCAGCGGCCTTCAAGACAAGCAGCGCACCGTGAAGCTCAGCTATCTGGGTGTGGGTTCTCCTGTGGCAGTGGCGGCAGGCCCTTCCGGAGCAGCCAGCAGTCAGGCGTCGTCTTCCTCCTCCTCGTGGAAAGCGCCAGTGCTGCTGCTGCAGACGGAGGAGTGGGAGCCCAAGGCTGAGTTGGCAGCGGTGTTGCATGCGCTGGACCCTGATCCTGGAGCGGCAGGGCGTCTCTCCGCTTCCTTGCAGCAGGCTCTGGGTGAGCTGCAAGGCAGCAGAGACAGCAGGAAGGCGGAGGCTGCGTTTGCCAAGCGGCTTGTGGACGGCGCCTTGAGCGAGGTGGTACAGCTGGCAAAGGGGAAGTCTGAGGCACAAAAGATGCAGATTTTGCAGTCCATCGTTCGTCTGACGGGCAGAGCGAGCTCGGAAGCTCAGGCTTCCAAAAGGAGGGGAGGTGATGACGTCTCACGGGATCAGCAGCGAGAAAGAAGGCGGAGGCAGACGCGTCAGCGCAAGAAGCTTCGTGAGCTTCTGCTGGATCAGTGTATGATGCAGGGTTCCCCGGGGGGGGCCTCGTCGAGTGGGGAGGGGGGCCTCGTGGTATACGGCATGGAGGATGTAGAGGAGCTGGTAGCACCTTTTGTTCTCGCTTCATTGCATGGCGGCGACACACGCGAGAGCGAGAGCAGAGAATCCGGCTTGACAATCGACGCATTCTTCGACGCAGACTCTCCCCTTGTGGCGAAATTGGCAGCGGAAAAAGGCTCAGCGGAGGAGCAGCGCCGCTTCACGAATGCAGTTTGGTGGGCTGCTGTGAAAGAGAGCTTGAGGGAGGAAGCCGCGCGTTCCTTTGCATGCCCCGAAGAGGTGGCATCCCCCGAGGCTCCCATACAGTGGACTTCTTGCAACTTTCAGGAGGTGCAGGAGGCAACGCACAAGCTGCTTCGCAAGCTGCATGCGCAGGTAAATACAGCAGCCAGATTGCAAGCGTTAGGGTGCCAGGAGCGGCTGCTGCTCGTCTTGAGTATGTTTCGCAACACCCTATGTTTGAGCGCGTTGAAAGCGCACAAAGCGACAGACACCTCCGTTATCCAATTAGAAAGGCCTGATGAGGGAGGGCGCAGCAGGAGGCTTGTACTGGATAGGCATGGAGTTGAAAGCAGACACGGACAGACACGTACACACACATACACATACACACGCGTATATATAGATACAGGAAGATATACGCCTAGCTTCAGATTTCCTCATGCGATCATACTAGAGACGAGCATGTATCATAATGTAGAGGGTGGATTTGTATGGGCATATGGGCAGCACAAGGCGGGGGATGGGTGGGGGGGGTAGTAGACGCGACAAGGGAGTGCCGACAGAGGAGGCCCCTGAAAGGCGAAAGCAATTAAGGAGCATTCTCATGCGCGCATTATTGGGAAGTATCTGATAGCTACGAGTAATTATGTTGTGTTGCCTGCCTGCCTGCCTGCCTGCCTTTCAGTTGGAGGCACTATGGGCGGAGCTTCGCCCGTTTTTTGAGAGCCGCAGCCGCGTCTTTCGCTTAGCTGGGGTGGACTACGCGACTGCAGCGAACAACTTGGACTGTCACATTGTGCGCAGTGAGGCCCAGCCGGTGGCTGAATTGATGTGTGAAAAGGTGAGACCAGCGGGGGCTAACATGGCGTTCGTGCTGCTGTTGCTCAGCGGCGCTGCTCTGCTGCTTTTGCCCGTTTTCTACTGCCTCTGGAGAGCAGGAGTCGAAAATACGTGGATCCAGCGAGACGCGCGAAAGGGAGTCATGGCAGCCCATAGGAGGCCTTCAAGTCCTCGTGAGGATTTCAACAGTCCTACGATCATCAGCGCTCCTACGCCGAGCAGTGGCAATACTGCAGCAGCTGCAGCAGTTGCTGCTGCAGCTGCCGCCACTGCTGCTGCGGCTTCGGGGTTGACACAGCAGCCTTCCATTCAGCAGCGGCCCCAGGTAGACCGCGAAATCCAATTTAGTTGATGGGATTGGCGATAACAACAGCAAATGTGTGCTTTTATTACGGAGGCTTTAGGTTAAGATACGTTAAAAGGGGAGTAGTTGACACGAGCTGCAGCAGCCGCCTCCCTTTGGGGGCCTGTTAGGAGTGCCTCACTGCATGGTATTTCTTTGTTACATACAATATATGGGGTATTTGCTTGCTTACCGCGTCGACAGTGTGGTACGTCGGTTGCCGCTCCTCGCCTGCCGGTTAGCTTAGGCAACGCCTCCGAACAAAATGCAGCTCCCTCACAGCAGAGCTAGTGGCAGGTGCATGCCTTGTGTTAAACACTGGGAAGTTGTGGAGCTGCCAGCTGCCACCACCCCTGAGGGGGTCTTCAACGGATGCTGTCTCTTAAAAAAGATAGTGGCTGCGTGACTCTGGCAGTACGCGTTCAAGCGGAATCTGTCTTGCTGGGTGTGCGTAGCCTAAAGTGCGGCAGTGAGTTTGCTTCCAAATACAGACTTGCCCATCGCTCAAAAACGCCTCACACATTTGCACTAGGGGCCTTGCTCCCCGGCCAGCCCCGCAGGGTGGGTATTTCGGTGACTTTGAAATCATATTTGAGTTGTAAATAAATGCACAGGCCTCCTATGAAGGTGGCACCTAGCTTAAAAGAGAGTGCTGGTATCTAAATGGACGGAGGCACTATCCGTAGGAAGCGGATCACATTCTTCACGTAGGCGACACCAGCCTCTTACAAAGGACAAGCTACATCGCTGCGATGCAAGGAAGCGGCTTCTTATACTGCGCGCTTGTCCCTAACAAAGATTGTAGGGGAAGGAGATTGCTAGGCGAGGTGCAGGCCTCTCGCCTGTGCATGGAGGCGTCATCAAGCAGGCAAAAAATGTGGCAGTTTTGGGGCCGCTGCCACCACTGACTTGTCACTGACTAAAGGGAACGCGCGTACGACTTTGGCAGTGCCAAGTACACGAAACCTCTCAGTAAGAAAGGAGAGAGTCCTTGCGGTGTGGACGTCTTCGAAAGGGGAGCTGACGAAGGAGCCGAACTTCAACTGCTAGGAGACGAACCAGGAGAGGCCCTTGAAGCCAAATATAGGGCATGGAAACGCGACGTTTTGTCCTTCAGAAGGCTGCGGGGAGGTGCAAACTCCAGCAGCTGCCCCTCGCCTACTACGCCAACGCGGTGGCATAGAGATGGCAGGTGCTGCAAGCGGTGAGAGACGATCAGAACGCTGCCCCTCCTGCATGCGCATCCCCCGCACAGCCAGACATGGCGCATGCAGCCAGCGCCTTTCGTCGCAGGCGGTAGGAGGGTCGATCAGCACCGCAGGGACGCCAGGCACCCCAAGACGCGAGCGCCTAGCTACTAGGGAATTGCCTGCACTTACTGCAGCAAACAGTCCGTTTCAAGTGGCATGTGCGTTGGCTCGCGCTTACCTCAAGCACCACTTGATAACCGGAACGAGGACCTCTTCTTCCACAGAGCTGTCCATTGCGCTGTTTGCCTCATCAAGGCACAATATAGGGGCGTCCCGTAGAATGGCTCTGCAAAAACAGAGAAGCTGCTTCTGCCCAATAGACAGGCGAATACTCTGGCTACCTCCCCCACCAGAAGGCTTAGAGTTGCCGCGGTTCCATGGACGCTCGTGGACGGGAGGAGTCATCAGGGCAGCGCTTCCCATGGGGCCTTCCCGTGCTAAAAAGGGGGATACTTCGCGCCTCCTGGGCTGCACAGCGCCTTCCTCATGCTGTGCAGAGGAGGCCATGGTCGGAGAGGCCAGGCGCACACGGGTGCCTGAGGTAGAGAAAAGGAGAGGCTGACACACAGGACAGACACGCTATACACGGCAGAAAATTCCGCATTGAATTCTTGATTTGGGTGTGAGCATGCACGAGGAATGCAACATCAATACGCTTTTCGACATGGCATGAAGGCCATCCTCAAGTGATCTGTAGGTGGCGCCATCCGCAGGCACACAGGACCAAGAGACGCAGCGGCAGAAGCCTCGAAGTCAAACGCAGCTGCAAAAGCACGACAACTACAGAGACTCTGTGTTTTGTGGCAGGCAAGCCGGACCCCCCTGAATTCTGCGAGACCTCCGAATACGGAATTCAACGGAAGAAGCCTCGTCCACGGTGGCAATAGGGGTGTCCAGGGCCTGCATGCACAACGTACATCATGCGTCTCTCATGCTCGCTCTAGCATGCGTTGCAGCTTCCGTAGAGGCCGCCTTTTACAAAGCAACAAGAGGTGACAGGAAGCGTCTCATCATCAGCCTACCTGAGGCAGTGCCTTCACCACCTGATCCAGTCTGCAGAGACGGAGGGCCTCGAACAGCTCGGCGTCTGTGCGTGCGCCTACCGGATCCAAGTTGGATCGAATGGTGCCAGAGAAGAGCGTCGGCACTTGGGGAACATACGCCAGCCGAGAACGCAGCACGTGTACCGGCAATTTTTGTATGTCAACGCCGTCTATTTTGATCACCCCCGTGTAGGGAACCATCCGTGTCAAGGCCAGCAGCAAAGTGCTCTTACCAGCCCCAGTCCTGCCGACAATGCCTACCGCCTCCCCGGGATGAATCGTCAAAGAGACGCCTCGCACTGCAGGCGGGCTGCAAGAACTGCAGTCACACACCACCATCACAAGACGCTAGACTCCAAGCCTCCACATCTGCGTCAGAGTATGGGGGCCAGCCTTAGAGGAGGGCACGCAGTGCGAACAACCGCAGTACCCGAAGGGACAGAGACGCTCTGTACGGGGTAGATTCTGCCTCTGCTCTGCTCTGAGGGGGGCGTATGACGGTCAAAGGGGAGAGGAGCCTTGCGGGGCAAACGACGCACCTGTAGGCCACAGTAACATTCTCAAAGTCTATTCGACCCCGCGTTCTAAAGCCCAGCGACACGGAGTCAGGAAACGGCGTTGAAAGCTGCTTGTTCATAGTGCCTTTGGTGCAGAGATCACCAACCGCAAACGAAGCCGACAAGGGGCCTCCCCGCCCCCGAAGGCACGCGAGAGTCTCATGGACAGCGAGAGCGCCTGCTGCAGCTGCTGCAGAGCGCCTAAAAGCTGGAGGTGGGGGAGACGAAAGTGCGCCAAGATAGAGAAGGGCTCTTGGCTCGGAGCAGTCAGGGCACGTTTCAGGCTGCCGGCGCTGCTTTAACAGCGGCTGCTGCTCTTCATTGTCAACAAATACAGGCAGTTGCGTGGTTTTCGCATCTTTCTTAAGCCGCCTGCGCCAGCTTAGCCAGGGTAACCAGGAGGAGGACGGCGCTGCAGGCTTAGAGGTGATGGGATGCCATGGAAGGCCTGTGATTACGTCGTAGTTGGGGTCCTCTGCTGGAACCTGAGTGCAGCAGCACGTTGCATGTGGAAGACACCAGTTCGACATGAGGTAAAGGAAGGTGCTATGAAGAGAAACAGATGGATGGGTAGACCAGTCAACCATTTGTTGTCCTGTCTGGGAAGATCCTATGATGGATGAATGCGGGTTCGCGAAGAAGTCTGCCTTTCTTAGTGTCTTCGCTGCTCTGATTATTCCCGCGGACCCCTCGCGGGCAGTTTACAAGTGCTGCCTACGAGCAAGTAGTCGCGAATCCTCTCTACAGAAACCATTTGCACCTCCAGGCGCACAAAGGTGGTAATGCTCTGGGTGAGGAGCCGCACGAGAGGAGACACCGAATACAGACTGAGGGCCATGAGGCCAGCCATCTCGCCCCGTACCTGCACAGGTTAACGCGGCGGGAACACACACGGCTGTACTGCAAAGGGAAATTGCTAGAAAGGCGGGAGGCACCACTTGCTCGCTGAGAGCCAGAATGCGTTTGAGAGACTCGTGGAGCCCAAGTAAAGCTTGCATATTGTCAACGAGCCTGATAGCCTTCCTAGATTTCCCTGACCTGCTCCAGGCGTTCAGGCCAGAAGTAAAGGGGCAATGCCACTGCCGCGAGAAGCAACGCCTGGAGGGAGGCCCCAATAAGCTGCAAGCGGAGAGCCAGCCACGCCTGCAGACAGGTATTTAAGTAGGAAGTGTTGCCGTAGAGCAGCAGCGCGGCTACACAGCGGTCAAAGTAACGCCGCTCTGCCCTGGAGGTACAAAAGAGCAACAGATCAAACAAAAAAAGGCGCTTACAGGGAATTCTGAAAATGCCTATTTGACAATTCCTGCCCAACAGCGTTCTCTTCAACCCATTAGGGACACTTAGCAATTGTGTCTGGCTCGGTATTTGTCGCTGCTCGTCAATGGGAAACAACTAGAGGCCTGAGGGGTGGCGTGTTGTCATCCGAGCACCTAAAAGACGGCTAGTAGGATTGGATTCTGGAGCACTAGTGTAGAATGTTATACGTAAGGCCGAAGCACTACGCTACAAAAGTGTGTCGTAAGTTGAAGTATCTAAGGAACGGCGCGAAGGCTGCACAGAGAGGGACCGAACACCGAGCCTAAATGTGTTCTTGTTCTACAGCAATCACCCTGGAGGCTTGGAGAATGCACGGGCACTTAACGCCCGCTTGCATTGCGTGGCTCAGCCTCTAATACCTCCAAAGAAAGTTCCTACCACAAAGTGACGTCCAGCCGAACGGTAGCAAGGGAATTTACCTGAAAGCCCGCAACGTAGCACCTCCGCCAACGGCCCCCGCAAGGAGGCAATGCAACGGCGAGCGAGCCACCGTCTCCAGCCTCTTGAGCGACCTGCAGTGGATAAAATTTGTACCAAGATGGTATGTGGGCATGAAATGTGCGGTACGTGCTGACCAGGGGTAGCAAGAGTTGCTTGCGACTGCAAGACGCCCTGCGTTGACCTTATTTGGCGATACTTGATGCAGAAGCAGCAGTTACAGCGCGTGATGATGGATACAATTGTGCCCAGCAAAGCTTCGCCTATATTCATAATGGCTGTAGGAGGTTGTGGCTGGGCTACCTGATGGCTGCACGGAGTTTCGAGGCCGTGCGAAGGAGGACGTAAGCAATGAGAGGCATCACCAGCAGCAACGTTGGCACAGTCAGGCTCAGGAGCGTCAGTTTAGCAATCATCGTCACTGCAGGCAGCAAACGCACGCGGGCAGTCTTCTGTCGCCTGCTAATGGCAGAGGTCCTCGCTAGATAGACCTGCTGACAGCGGAAGGTGAAGCGCAAGAGAAGTTAAAATAGACACCGCAGAGCGCCCGATTCGCGCTTTAGGCAGCTTACTGATAATCAGAATATGCGTGTAGATGGCTTGGGGAAGCGCCTCATCGATGCAGAAGACGTCATCGGAGAGGCGGTTCAGCAGACGGCCAATGGGTTCTCCATCAAACCATCTGGCAGGGGCCCTGACGTGGCGTAAGAGGGAGACACAACATAAATAACCCTTCAACTGATGACGCAATGGCGACGCAGCAGCAGCACTATGCTAAGGCAGGAGGGCACATCGGGTGCCCTGAGAGGCAGCAACAGCACGATCTGGAAGCAGTCATGTAGGGAGACGCAAAATGCAGAGTTACACAAAAGCCCCAAGAAGCAGTGAGAGCGAGAGCTTCATTATCAGGAATTAGTTCCCAACTGAAAGGCTAGGTCTAACAGCGGCCTGGTCATCAAGTTTCTAGCGAAAAGAGCGAGCGGATAGGCGATACGTGGAGTCTGCAAACACCCAGGGCGACACACCTGAGCAGCGCAGCCAGCAGGTTTGCCTGCAAGACTGAAGAAGCGTTGACTCCGCAGCGGACAAAGGTCACAGTGGTGACGGCCGAAAACAGCATGGAGAGCAGCGCAAGACTCCAATAGCCCATCAAGTAAAAAAGGTTTTCCCCTCCGGAGGAGTACCCGCTTTGCCACAAGATCCACGCATGGACTTGTGCCAGAGGAGGGGTCCCTCGATCCGTCCACCGACGCAGCCAGTAGTCGCACAGCGTGGTGCAGTACGTGCTAGCCTGAAAAACCCCCATCTCAAAGCTAAGCCAGCCGCGCATGTTGCTGATCGTGCCGCAGTTGCTCTTTTCGCGGCTCCTGTTCATTGTACATAAAAGCTACGGCAAGGGTTCAAAATCTCACCGCGCACGCTATTAGGAGCAGCAGCACCATGTGGACGCCAGCGCTGCGCATATAAAGTCTCCAGACACGCCAGGCAACTTCGCCGGTTCGCGTAGCCTCAGGACCGGAGGCAGGAGTGTTAACGTCCACCTTCCATGCGCCAGAATCGTCAGATTTGCTGGTGGGCGTGTATCTAGACGTGGGCTCTGCAGCGGAGCCGTTGCTGCACGTCGCACCGTCATTGCACTCCTCCTCTTCGAGAAAGAGACTTGCAGAGTCACTGCGTGCACATACAAATGAACCTGCGTGACGTCCTGAAGGGCCCCCTCTCAGGAGGTGTGTCACCCGCGATTCGGGCTGCTGCAAAGGGCTGATCCGCCTAGAAAAGATCCACAAGGGGGGGGGGCGAAGGGAGCAACAGGAAATACGAAAACAAGCGAGGTGTTGTGTGGCAGCAAAACTCGCACGTACTCAGTCAGGGGAGTTGACTCTTTTAGTCCCGTGCACTCGCTTGAATGTGGCATATTGCGGCCTTCTCCTGGAATCAGGAGAGGCAGTCCGTCCTGTCTTTTCTGAAGCTCCGCATATGAGGGGAGCTGCCGTGTCGTACCGCCGTCTAGCAGGACGAAGCCGTCAACACACGGGGATTTGGCCATGATTAGTGCTGCTTGCTGCATCACCAGCAGCACTGTGCGCCCGCTGAGGATGCCTAAAAAGCAGCAGCAGAAAAAGCGCAAACGCCACAGCGATTTATGGAGAAGCCTGCTCTGTCTGTGTTCAACGGCACAGGCAACGACGCTTGCATGCATGAATCCCGAAAATTTCAGACTCCGCTCCTGCTGCTGCGGTTGACAGCGCTGCTGCGGAAATGTGCCGCTGTTGCAGATTCTCTCCGAGTGAATTACTCTCAAAGAGACTCTCAATGCGGGAAAACCAGATCTGCGCAAACCAAGGGCAAAACATGCAACTTCCCTAGTGGCGCGGCGTACCCCCAGAGGCGAAAACACGACGCCACACAGCCATGGCGGTGACCGCATCCAGAGCGCTAAAAGGGTCGTCTATTAGGTAGAGTGCCCTCGGTCCAAGTGCAGCTAGGCGAACTAGCTGCTTCTCTTGGAGCATATTTTCTGAGACTTCAAGGCTTCTCGTTTCTCCGCTTTCCAAATCCACGTTGGACTCTTCCTTTGGTTTCGAAGACCTCGGGAAGGCAACGCCGCAGGCGGAGACGGCGGCCGCGCTGTAGATTGCACGCGCGAGGCATATACGGGCCCTTTGCCCCCCTGCAAAGTTCGCCAAAAGCCACAGTAAACAGCGACTTCGCGCTAGATGAACGGTGCTATTGTGTTGCAGACTTTCCAAAAATGCCTGGGCCCTCTGGGAAACGTAGGGCGTCGCGGAGGGGCCAAGGAGAGGCACAGACACCGGCAATGTATGGCAGAGGACACGCGAGGCACATAGCACATAGCACGATCCCCTCAAGCAGAAATAGCTACTCAGTCAGACGACAAGCGTGGGCAAGAGTAACGCTCCATGCACCGTCTGGCTTACCGCTCAGGCGATGCCCTCCAGCGTCGATAGGTGTGGCATCACCCCCCAGAGCCGCTATATCTGTTTCCAGGGAGCAGGCCCTTAGGACCCTTTCATAGGCAGAGCGCACAAGAGGCCTTCCCATGAGAATGTTGCTCTGTAGCGTTCCCTCAAAAATGACTGGCTGCTGGGGTGAGTATCCAATGAGCTCCCAAGGATCCAAGCAGTCAGGCGCGCGGCCGTCGCAATTCCAGCTTGCGGTATTTGCTAATGCTGCTGCTGCTGCTGCATTCGCTGCCTCCCCGGAGTGCAGCAAAGCTGCTTCCTTTGAGGAGAGCAGCGAGTCTTGTGCGGCCCTGCTGCTGGTCAGATTGGCGCTGCAGCTGCTAGGTCGAGGGAGGTTCAGATACGCTTCCCCTCCAACGAGATTCATGTCTCCTAAGATCGCGGCTAGGAGGCTGCTCTTCCCGCTGCCAGATTTTCCCACTACCACATGCAGCTCTCCCGGATGGATGTATAGCTGCACATCGTGCAACACCGCGCTGCTGCTCCTCAGAGAGTACAGGCTTTCGCCCTCTCCAGAGGCCGATGCATGCCAAGGCCTTTCTTGCGCCGCAGAGCCATGTTGCAGCAGACGGCTTCCGCTGCCCGAGAGGACGCTGTTGCAGTGTGTAGTGCTGCGGTTGCTGCTGCTGCTACAGTGCGAGGTGCTCGAGGCCGTTTGGGGGCTCTCTACCGGCGGCGCGGCACTGGGAGAGATGCAGCTATCGCTGCTAGCCAGGAGTTCATGAGGCCTTAAAGGCCTCCACGCAAAGGCAGCGTCTCGAAAACAGATAACTGCAGAGCCAGCGTCTGCGCCTCCTCCCGAAACGGCTGATTCGCTGCACGTGCCTGGCGTCTCTGAGACATGCACGGCCTTCCCATCGTACGGCGCTTCTCTGCAATTGCGCTGGGGTTGCCGCTGATGCGCGTGCTGGTCGTGTGGTGGCAGCTGGGGTTGCAGAGCGCCCGATGGGGGGGAAAGACATCTCCCGAGTCGCTTGAGCGCCACGGCTGCTGCCGTCAGATCCCCCATGAGGGTAGGCAACGAGTTGAGGGCTTGGAGCGCCTTGTCAATGAGCGCCAGCGCAGCGAATAGCGTGCTGGCCTTAGCCATGCTGCCACCCCCCTCTCCTCTGGCGACGAGGCAGGTGAGAGCCGCGAGTTTGACCACTAGCGGCGTTGACACGAACAGACAATTGCCGATCGCGTGCAGGTAGTACCTGCATCGCAAGAACTTGAGTTCCGGTATGCGCAACCCCCAGATCCGCGCGAAGGCGAAGCCTTCCCACCCCAGCACCTTGGTCTCGCGGATATGCAGCATGAGCTCCCGGCAGGCGCGCACTCGGGTGTCTCGACAAGACATCATGCGGTGGGTTAGCTGGCGCAGTCGGTGGCCGAGGCGGACTTGCAGCAGCAGGCAGCCACCTGAAGCAGCGCAAGGAAACAGCGCGTGGCATGCGTTGTTGCAGCTCGGCTATTCAGGGTGTGCTGACGCCAGTTTTGGCTGGTTGTGTTTCGGGGGAGGGGAAGGGGGCGGTGTTGTCGCAGTCCCGTAGACGCTGCAAGAACCGGAGCCTCGGACGCACCAGTAACAGCCACAGCGTACAAAAAGGCGCCAGGTATCTGCCTGTACACCAGGAGAAGGTTGAGCGCGAGGGTCAAGGGGGCCGCCCACAGTTCATGGAGCACGCATATGCCCACTTGCGTTCGTTCGCAGTCCACGCTGACGAGGTTCGCAAGCTCAAGCGCTGCAGCTCCTGCAGACGAAGAAGACGCACTATTCCCGCCGCTGCTGCTACGGAGACACCTCGTAGTCGCTGCGGAGACAGCGCCTACACGCTGGCGAGGCTTCGGAAGTGGCGCACTTCGATCTGCAGCTGCAACAAGGCCTCCTGGTGGTTGCTTAGGACCTGCTCCTGCTGCTGCTCCTGCAGAGCATGCAGCTGATTCGCCACCTTCCTGCATCCCGCCTTCACCAAGTCCGAGCACGTGCTGCGTTGCAACACGATACAAAGAACCCCGCGGTTCTGCCTGCTGCGGCGTCTCGAGCGACGACTCCAGAGGCAGCGCTGTGCCCTGCGGCTTCGCGAAAGCCTCGCCGAGAGGATTTCCTGCTCGTGGAGGAACGAGCGGCTCTGTGCAACTGCTGCTGTTGCTGCTGCTGAGTCTGCGGCTTTCTGCTGAAAGAGCAGAGCTGCTGGCGCTTCCCCCGACGCATGCAGCAGCATGGTCCTGGTAAGGCTGGGAAGCCTCTCCCGCGCTTACCCAGTCGGAACCTCTAGGGTTGCAATCGCTGAAGAGCAACTGCCGAGGAGAGGCGAACCCTTCCGCGTAGGCAGCTTCTTCCTCGTCTGCGTCTCCTTCGCTCACAGCCTGAAGAGATGAGTCATCACCCCACGCCTACCCCCCATAAGCGCGAATTACCTTAGTAGCGTACAGCGAGCCACACCAGCACCCCTCAAAAAACATCGACAAAAACCACTCAGGCACCGCCACGCCTTATATCTGCAAAGCACGCAAAAACGGCTCACCGAAAGATACGATTCTCCCCCACTGCTGTTCGCTGCATCGTGCTCCGCTGCGGCAGCAACGGCCTCAGCTGCAACGGCTGCAGCCGTCTCTGCCGTTGCAGCTGCAGTCAATACTGCAGCGGCAGCTCCATCAAAGAGAGTCTGCGAGACAACGCGATGCAAGTTGCCCCCGAAAGAGACAGCCCGCGTGAGTGCGCCGCCTCCGCCGCTGCTGTGCTTGCTGCTGTCACTGGTGCTGTGGCTTCGAGTCAGCCGCTGGGACCTTTTCTCTGACACCGCTTCGGGAGAGGCAGCAAACACTGGAGAAGAGTGGCTCCCTCGCCATGCCGCTGTCTGGGGGTGGCTCCAAGCCTCCACAGCACCGAGAGGCTGCCCCTCCGCATCCAGCTGAGAGGCCATCTGCTCTGTCGTATCGACTAGGCCTGCTTCCGAAGCCGCATGCACATCTGCTTGCATGTCGAGGCGACCTTCAGGAGGCACCGAGATGACAAGGGCACCCTGGGAGGCAGCCGGCACGTCGTTTTGCCCCTCCCCATCGCTTCGACCCTTTCTGCCATCCCCGCTGCCATAACAAGGCAGCAACGCATACGGCCTTCTAAGGGCGGCGTGGAAGACAGCGGCAAGCAAAGCATTCTTCGCCCTCAGCGCAACTTTTCGCATGCGGAAGCCACACTGCACGTTCGCGGCTACCTGGACATACGCGGCAACTGCGAGCAACAGGGAGAGTATGAGCAAGCGGTTATGCGGTTCAACTTGATGAAAGCCTCCCAGCAGCCACCACAGCAGCGCTGGGCTTGGGGAGTCTGCTTGAGGTTCCGCAGCTGCTTCCTCTGCGGCACTTGGCGGCTCTCCCACGGGGGGGGGGGGGGGGGGGGGGGGGGCAAGGGATGCTGCAAGTTTAGCCAGTTCAGAGAGCAGCTATTGTTAAGACTTTCGCATGACTGCCTGCTCCTGCTGCTTCTGCATTGCTCACAGCAGTAAGACTGCTTTCAGCAGCAGCACACACACGCACACGGGGTCTTTCGGGCGAATGCTGCATGCAGCTGCAGCCCGTAGTCTGCAGCAAAGGCGTCGCGTCGTTGCTGCCAGAGCAGCGCTCAATCTTGTCCTATATACCAACCATAGGTGCAGGAGCAAAAGCAGCGTCACAACTCGCTGCCGTTTTTGTTGTTGCTGCTGCTTTTGCTGGTGTTGCTGTTGCTGGTGCTGCTCAGGAGCAACGCCTTAGTGCCGTGGACCCGGAGTCTATAAACGCAGGTGTATTTGTTATTCCCAAAGTTTTCCAAGAACTCAAAGACTACCTTTTTAATTGGCTGTTGCTGCTGCTGCTGCGAGAAAACCTCGAATCGGGAGCTCTTCTGACCTTGTTCAAGCAGGAAATTGCCTAAGAGCACCGGTGTAGCGACCGCTCCTTCGGCAGGAGCCTCTGCTTTGCTTTGGGGAGTTCTAGAAAGGACAGACATAAGCCAATTCGTGCCGCCTTCAGTGCTGCTGCGCTCAATAGGCAGCACCTTCTGCAGGCTTGCCTCGTTGCTGCTGCTTCCCTGACTGGCGCCACTGCTGTAGTTGCCACTGACAGCGGTAAATGGGGCATACTCCCGTTTGTCAGGTACACCCCACACCCGCATGCGTTTCGGAGCCGTGTCTCTCGTCAAGACCGACACCATATCATCGATCGCGACAGCCTGTACATACACCTGAAAGGCGCCCAAGACAGCAGCAGCAACACCTGTGTCCTTCTGTGAGGCGACCGCGCAACCCCACGAGACGCCAAACACGCTGGCCTGGGGGAACACTCCCACCACCACCACCACCACCACCTCGCTGCCAGAAAAAAAAGCCCCTGCTCGCGTGCAAGTCTACATTACGTGCAAGTCTACATTACGTGCAAGTCTACATTACGTGCAAGTCTACATTACGTACACGTCTGTATTGCATTCAACTCTACATTGCATTCAAATCTACATTACGTGCAAGTCTATATTACGAGCAAGTCTATATTACGAGCAAGTCTGAATTGCATTCAAGTCTACAGTACGTAAAAGTCTATATTGCATTCAAGTCTACATTGCATTCAAGTCTACAGTACGTACAAGTCTACATTACGTACGAGTCTACATTGCATTCAAGTCTACATTACGTACAAGTCTACATTACGTGCAAGTCTACAGTACGTACAAGTCTATATTGCATTCAAGTCTACATTACGTGCAAGTCTACAGTACGTACAAGTCTACATTACGTGCAAGTCTACAGTACGTACAAGTCTATATTGCATTCAAGTCTACATTCCGTGCAAGTCTATATTACGAGCAAGTCTATATTGCATTCAAGTCTATATTACGTGCAAGTCTACAGTACGTACAAGTCTACATTACGTGCAAGTCTACAGTACGTACAAGTCTATATTGCATTCAAGTCTACATTGCGTGCAAGTCTATATTACGAGCAAGTCTATATTGCATTCAAGTCTACATTACGTGCAAGTCTATATTGCATTCAAGTCTACATTACGTGCAAGTCTACAGTACGTACACGTCTACATTGCATTCAAGTCTACATTACGTGCAAGTCTACAGTACGTACACGTCTACATTGCATTCAAGTCTACATTGCATTCAAGTCTACATTACGTGCAAGTCTACATTGCATTCAAGTCTACATTACGTGCAAGTCTATATTACGTGCAGGCAGGCAGCCAACCCATATCAACAGGCGGGGAGTGAGGCTTACTGCTGTGGGTAAGATAATCGCGATGCGCCCTGAGGATCCCTGAAAGGCATAGCAATTGCCAGGGAGTCTTTCTGGTCGTAACACTGTCTCAGGAGGCCGATGCAGCAGCGGTGGGGGGGGGGAACTACGCCAGGAGATGCCGAGCAGCTGCATGAGTTGTTGCTGTAGGCTTGCAAAACTGCCGCTCCTGCCACCGACAGCGCATGCGAAGAAGAAAAATGCCGGAGCACTCTAGAGCAGTTTCTGTCGACGCGAGAGGCAGTGATCCCACCCATGACAGAGCTTGAAAGGGAGCATGACACGGGAAAGCCTCAGTCAGTTGCGCGCATGATGGCAAACACCGACCCCAAGGCGAAAGCATGCACGGTACTTCTTCCAACACCACCAGGGGAAGCCTGAAGTTTGCAGCAGCACTACGGGGGTGGGAAAGTTGAAAAGGCGCCATTGTGCATTCTCACGATGACGGGATGAGAGGGGGTGAAGTCTCGGTGTGTGCTATGCGCGCTCCTACAGACTCCAATGCCCAGTCCACCTCAGCTTCATCCTCTACCAGCAGCCTTAGGAAGCAGCACAAAGAGCAGCTCAAACAGCAGCCGCGAAAACATGGTGCAAGAAGCGCCTACTAGGAGACAGATTTGATGCGAACATGAAGCCCGACGGGAGAGCGCTGCACAAAAAGCGGAGGCTGGCAGCACTGCCGCTCGGGGATATGGGAGGGGAAGGGGAAGGAAGGGGGGAGGGCAGGCTGCGGATCAAGACTCCACAAGAAAGGGGTCGACCGACATACGCACTTTGCATGCAACTCCTCAATCTTCTGACGCAATCCTGGGGGGAGGGGTTGAGATCCTGCAAGAGCCGCAGATGCCAACACAGCTGCCTAAACGCACTGAATTTTACCGCATTTTATGCGAGCCGGAGGCGCTCATTTGCTGGAATTAGACCGCAAGGCTATGTCCACACGCTCACCTGCGGTGTCTATACGTTGCTGCAGCCGCTGCAACTGCTGCACCAAGCTGCGGTTCTTTGCTTCGAGCTCCTCCATGTGTTGCTGCAACACATCAGAGCGGCCCTAGCACTTCCATGAGCTCAATTCAGCTTCAGCGAAAGCGTTTCAGCAGCACGCCAAGCAGCGTCAGTCGCCAGCGACAACAGGCTTTCTAAGATGCGTGTGTGTAGCAACGGCTTCGCCATTATCATCGGCGCTGAAGGTAAATCCTGAGCACCTGCGCTGCTGCCATGTTCTTCGCGAGAGCTTCCCGTTCAGCAGCCATGGCAGACGCTGCTGCGGATGCAGCCGCAGCCGCTGCTGCAGACGCGTCGAGTTCAGACAGCCCAGACTGCAAGAGGCGGTGTTGCTGCTGCAACAGCGGCTCGAGCTGCTGCTGCAACTGCTGCAGCTGCTGGGCGTGCTGCTGTTGCTGCTGCTGCAGAGCGACGCGCTGGGTTGCAAGTTCCCGTCTCAACGCAGCTAGCTCCGGAGACGGCTCCACCGGCTGGAGAGACACACACGCAAATAAATATTCAAAGGAGGCAGACGCTCGACTTTACTCCCCAAAGCCACATAAAAAGAGGGTCGCACACGCCTTGATGCGCAGAGCTGCCTACCGGAGGTGGTACTTCCGGGGTGATCTGCACAGAAAAAGCAGGAAAAACGCTTGCTATATATAGGGGGTGCAACGCTGAAGAAATAATTTAGCGCTTAGCTGAAAAAGGCGGAAAAAAACGAGCTGCAGGAAGGCATGAGTGACTCACAGGGCCGAGAGTCGACGACAAAGACTCATCTGTGTGAAAGAGAAAGCCCATGACTCCTATGAGCAGCAACAGCACGGCAGCAGCTGCTCCTAGCAAGAGCATGCAAGATGCTGCTGCTGCCTTGTTCCTTGGCAGGAGATTACGCAGCACCTGCCTCTTGATGGCGCGCACTAGATCCTCCACATCCATTTCCTCACGGCGAGCTGCAATGCGAGCTGTACGTACACCCCAAGGCAGCAGCAGCAGCAATTTGGACAACGTGGTGAACGGTACAAAGCGCCGACAGGCGCGCGGAGAGAAACGTATCAGCCCATTCAGGTGTCTGTACAGCGCTGCGAGACACCACGTATAGAGGGCAGCCGCCATATTCTCATGAAGGCTCCTGCACAACAATGCAGCAGCACGAGCAGCAGCAGTAGTAGTGGCCACTGACGAATTTCGCTATTTTGCTGCAGTGCAGCAGAGGCCCTTCCCGTTGCGGTGTCTTGACAGCCCGCAAAGGGTAACCAGCTGGCTCGCCACCGACTTTGCCGATGTACTGCAGCAGAAGCACGCGCACCATCCAAAACAAATTCAAGAAAGGCGAATCAAAAACAGCTGCTAGAAATCAACATTGCAACGGCGTCAGCAGAGTCGGCAGGTCCATGAGTAGCGCTCTTCGAGTTTGGCATGTCTAAGGCAGTTCTCGAGCACTGGCGGGAGGTGGAAGTTACATTCTGCAGAGCAGCAACTGAATTAGCTGCATGGTGAACCTACTTAGGCGGGAAACAGAGCTTGCATGACTGCTGGGGGAGGCCACATGCTGCTGTTTAAAGAGATTGTGCTGGTGCTTCTGGTGCTTCTCTTGGCTAAGCACGCCATCCATCGCGTCTGACAAGTCAGAGCTTTCATCTGCATGGACAGAAGCGGGCAAGTGTAGCAGGAGGGGCGATATCGGAAAGTGCAGAAGCAAACAGGCAGCATCGGCTGGAGTATACAGCCATCCAATGGGGTGAACGCGTCGCAAGGAGTTGCAGCAACGCGAGCACCCGTGTTAAAAACTTGTGATTCCACTTTTGTTAAAAAGAACTGTCTGCATTGCTGCTCCTTTTGTTGTTTCTGTCGATGCTAGCGGAATAATGCAGTGCCTCTATTCGTGTCAACGACGCACCATCAGAAATATGAGTAGCTGTCGTCATGTTTGCGGGGGTGCTGCCAATGCTTGCTGCAGCAGCTGCAGCTGCAGCTGCTGCTGCTTCTGCATGCATGAAACCGTATCCGTCAGCTCCTCCGCTACTGCGTTTGCTATCGAACCTTCCCGCATACAACAACGGGTGCTGATGTTGCAAGTCGTGCTGCTGCTGCTGCTGCTGCTGAGGATACACGGGGAGTGGCACCCGGCGATGTGCAGGCCGCTCTCCGTTTTGCAGCTCCCCCCCGCCACTGTTGGCGCTGCTGTATGCGTGCTGGTGCTCCCCGAAGAGGTAGGAAGAGTCAGAGTCTGTGCCTGCAGGGGCGTTGATATGAATCATCGTGCTGCTGCTTTGGTGGCAGGAAATCGCTGCAAAAAGCTCCGTGCAGCGCGTCAAGTCCAGTCAGCTGCTAGAGTCACCAGCAGCAGCACGAAGCTCGTTGCAGCACTAGGAATCGATCGACTGCTTAGTGGAGAGGGCAGAGCCGCTGAGGGAGCCGCTGTAACACAACCTGCTGATGTTGACACTGCTGTGTCAGCGGCAGTAGCTGCAGCCGTCCAAGCGCCTTCGCGCGCGTACCTCTCGATTTTTCTGGCCAGATGGGTGGCAAAATACGAAGAAGACTGGCAGGGTGCGCGCAATATTGGTGTTCTTTGGGATCTGAGGCAGACGCAGAGGCAGCAGCAGCATCACCTCCACCCCCCCGATGCACCATCCGCGAACGCAGAATATCGCAAGACACGGATTCTGTAAACAGGAAACGTCCTGGAAGAAGATTCTGTCTGAGACATCCCCAACGGCACCAAGAGCAGCGGCAGCCGCAAGCGCAGCGGGAGCTGTAGCTACGGGAGTGACCATCCCTGAAGTGGAGAAACACCCAGGAGGGTGCATGCAAGAGAGGCCAACAGTCCGGAAGCGCGCCGTGTTTCTGCGAAAAAAACATTTCAATAAGTCGTTCTTCTAGAATTTTGCATAAACATAAGGATTTTCAGGTGCTGCATGCACGCACGTGGCATGCTTCCTACAGTTAATTGCCCACTCGCACACATGGGATTCCCCATGCCTCTCCCGAAGACATCGATGCACCGCTTTTCTGCGCAAGCGTGATCGCTTAAGGGCTGTAGTAGGCGGCACTAGGACCCCCTTCCTTCTCTCTTCTTTCCCCTACAAGTGGTGAGAGAAGAGAAACAGCTTCTCTCCTTCCTGTTCTCTCTGTAGAGCTCCCTTGGCACGCCGTCACCGACTTGGCGAGGAGTGCGGCGAGCCATATGCGGCATTCGTGCCCTTACAGCCAGAGCTTCTCTAAGGAGCCGAACAGCATGAACAGAGCTTGACACCGACAAGCGTCAATAATGAGGATCAAGAAGCCGCCTTCTTCATTAAGAGATGCAGCCGCGGCAACACCTCCTGACTCCTGACTGAGTAGCCGGAGCAGGAGGACACCCCTTGTCTAGACACAGCACGAACAGCATCTGCAGACTTGGTTGCTCTTGCTGCTGCCGCTGCTGCTGCTGCTGCTTTTCCTTTTTCAAGATGGAGGGGGGGGTTGACACTTCTCTGCTAACCTCCTCGTCATGCGCTTCTAATACTTCACCGTCCTCGAACGACGGCAGCAACAGGGATCATGCTGTTTCAGCTGTCGTTACAGCTTCTGCGGGGGGGCTTTCGCCACAGCAGCAGTCCGAGCAGCATCTGCCTTGCTGCCTAATGCAGCAGCAGCAGCAGCAGAAGGAGGAACAAGATCAGGGGGAAGAAAGCTGTACAAAATCAGGGAGCCTCCCAAGAAGGGAAATGGGGGGCAGTGTCGAGACACTGCCATCCCTGCGAGACAGGAAGAGCAGTTTTCGCGGCGGAGAGTCTGTCAGCAGCAGCAACAGCATATTGCAGCGTGGCTCATGTCAGCAGGAGAGTCATTCGTATTCTCCAGAGTCTGCGCATGCATTTCAACGCGAAGAGCGGCAACTCCTCCAGCAGCAAGATACCCAAGAAGAGCAACTCACGATAGAGCAACAACGGCAGCACCAGCAGAGAACGCCTCCCATGCACTATGCCCAGAGAGAAGAGGAAGCGCTTCCTCGGGATCTAACAAATGCAGCAGCAGCAGCATCAGCTGCTAGTGCTGCTGCTGCTGCAGCTTCTCAGCAGCAGCAGCAGCAGCAGCAGCAGCTCTTGGTCCAGCTGGAAATGCTCGATTCAACAAAGTCTCAGGCACTGGAAGAACTGCAGCCTTCCGCACGGCTGCACCCATATCGAAGCTCCGAGCAGCAGCCGACAAAGCCTCAGCACTTCACGAGTCTTCCTGCGTCTCTTGCAGCAGCAGCAGCAACGGCAGGGGCAGCTGCTGGCGCTCAGTCTATAGCTGCATCTTCAGCATCGCGAACAGCCGTTGCTGCTGCCTCCGCTGCTCAGTCCGAAGAGAGGAAGCTGCTGTCTCTGGGGGAGTGTGCAGCAAAGGCAGATTCTGCCTTTTCTTCTGCAACAGGAGAGGAGGCAGCGGCGCAGAGGGCAGCCTCTGACATAACTCCCCCCAGTCTCAGGGAGCTTGTGGAGCTAACAGCGCATGCTGCAACGTCTCAAGGGAGCAGCTGCAACGGCAGCAGCAGCAGCTGGTTTCGCCCGGAGAATCTGCGACTGAGCGAGCGAGGAAACAGATATTTCTTCCTGCGAGAGCCGCCTGACGCTGTCGCAGGAGCAGCGAGATGCCTCGCTACCCTTCTACTTTGCCACTCTGGTGATCTTTTCGACATATATCACTCTGCCGCGCAGAAGGCAGCACCCCCTCAGCTGCCACAGCAGCTTCTTGCTTCCCCTGACATTGCTGTCAAGCGCGAGTTGGAGAAACGTGGTAGAGCTGCGCAGCAGCCTGCCCCCTATCAGCTCCAAGCCCACAGTTGGCTGGAAGACGCGAGGATAACTAGACAGGAGACGCAGAAGCGGCAGGATCTGTTGAGCGGAGGCTTCGTTGGCATGCATGCGGCGCGGGCTAAGTGGCTGTTGCTGCGGGGGCGAGGCTGCTGCATGCGCCTGCAGCTTCTTCAGTCCCTTCAACTGCTGCAGCAAACTAAGGCGGCTGTCTTGCAGTTGCTGGCGTCTCGATGCCACTTGTGTGAGCACACCTGCGACTCCTCCCGCAGACGTAACTCCTCCCGCGACGGCGCGTTGCTGCTTCCCGAGGCACCTCCCCGGCAGAAGAAAATGGCTCTGTGGCTTCTGCATCGACTGCTGCATGCGACCGTTGGGAGCACCTGCTCCAGCGACGGCAGGCGTGAGGACAGATCCAGTCACTGTGCCTCTGGAGGCGCTTTTCTCGAAGAGGCAGACGAGCGATTTGCGCACTTTGTTGTGCGGTGTCTGGGGAGCCAGTGGAAGCAGACGCTGTTGCAACACATGCAGAACGACAGCAGCAGCAGTGCGGGCGAGAGAGAATTCCCTTTCAGCGGCGTCAAGAGACACAGCGAAACCGACCTGCAGCACCCTCGAAAAAGGCTAGCCATCGAGAGGCTGCTTCGCGTGTCGACTCCTGCCGCAGGCGTAGAGCCTTCGTCTTCAGAAGCAGCAGCAGCAGCAGCAGCAGGCAGAGAACTAGGTTCAGGAGGCGTTGCATGCGTCGCCGTACAGTCAATTGGACGGGCAGTTGTGGTTCGACGCGTTTCCCAGAGCTGCTGCTCGGTGCTCCGCTTTTTTCCAAAGACTGCTGTAGAGGAGCGTCGTTTGGATGCTGCAGCAGCTTCATCAGCAGCAGCAGCTTCAGCAGCAGCAGCAGACGCGCTGCCTCCACCTCCTGCTCGCAGGGGAGGACGCAAGGGAAGAGGCGGCAGAGGCGTTTTTGGGCAGCAGCAGCAACAACAACAGCTGCTGCTGCTCTGTGGTTTTAAGGAGCAACTTTGTCCAGGTCTCTTGCTTCAGGTGCATGCACTGGCTGTACACTTGCACTGGTAGACGCGATGCGGCGCTTAGGGTGTCTGCGCCTCCAATCATTGCCTCGCCGCATGTGCTTGAGGATAAATCCCGCTGCTTATGATCGTGCTCTTCACGTCTGCCGCAGGTAGACGGGATGCTGCCCTCTCCTCTACAGCAGCAGCTGCTGCGAATACGCCAAGAGTCTCTGGATGCTGCGCGACTGCGTGAGGGTATGTATCTGTGGGCAGTCTGCAGGCTTGTTGGTATTTTGCTGTTGTTGCTCCTTTGTTGTTGCTCCTTTGTTGTTGCTCCTTTATTGTTGCTCCTTTGTTGTTGCTCCTTTGTTGTTGCTCCCTTGTTGTTGCTCCTTTGTTGTTGCTCCTTTGTTGTTGCTCCTTTGTTGTTGCTCCCTTGTTGTTGCTCCTTTATTGTTGCTCCTTTATTGTTGCTCCTTTATTGTTGCTCCTTTATTGTTGCTCCTTTTTCGCTGCCCCTTTGTTGTTGCTCCTTTATTGTTGCTCCCTTGTTGTTGCCCCTTTGTTGTTGCCCCTTTATTGTTGCCCCTTTATTGTTGCTCCTTTATTGTCGCTCCCTTGTTGTTGCTCCTTTATTGTTGCTCCCTTGTTGTTGCTCCCTTGTTGTTGCCCCTTTGTTGTTGCTCCTTTATTGTTGCTCCTTTGTTGTTGCTCCTTTGTTGTTGCCCCTTTATTGTCGCTCCTTTATTGTTGCTCCCTTGTTGTTGCTCCTTTGTTGTTGCTCCTTTGTTGTTGCTCCTTTATTGTTGCTCCTTTATTGTTGCTCCTTTATTGTTGCTCCTTTGTTGTTGCTCCCTTGTTGTTGCTCCTTTGTTGTTGCTCCTTTATTGTTGCTCCTTTATTGTTGCTCCTTTATTGTTGCTCCTTTGTTGTTGCTCCTTTATTGTTGCTCCCTTGTTGTTGCTCCTTTATTGTTGCTCCTTTGTTGTTGCTCCCTTGTTGTTGCTCCCTTGTTGTTGCTCCTTTATTGTTGCCCCTTTGTTGTTGCTCCTTTATTGTTGCTCCTTTGTTGTTGCTCCTTTGTTGTTGCCCCTTTATTGTCGCTCCTTTTCCGCTGTTCCCTTGTTGTTGCTCCTTTATTGTTGCTCCTCTGTTGTTGCCCCTTTATTGTTGCTCCCTTGTTGTTGCTCCCTTGTTGTTGCTCCTTTATTGTCGCTCCTTTTTCGCTGCCCCTTTGTTGTTGCTCCTTTATTGTTGCTCCCTTGTTGTTGCTCCTTTATTGTTGGTCGTTTGTTGTTGCTCGCTTGTTGTTGCTCCCTTGTTGTTGCTCCTTTATTGCTGCTCCTTTATTGTTGCTCCTTTATTGTTGCCCCTTTGTTGTTGCTCCCTTGTTGTTGCTCCTTTGTTGTTGCTCCCTTGTTGTTGCTCCCTTGTTGTTGCCCCTTTATTGTTGCTCCTTTATTGTTGCTCCTTTATTGTTGCTCCTTTATTGTCGCTCCTTTTCCGCTGCACCTTTGTTGTTGCTCCTTTGTTGTTGCTCCCTTGTTGTTGCTCCCTTGTTGTTGCCCCTTTGTTGTTGCTCCTTTATTGTTGCTCCTTTGTTGTTGCTCCTTTATTGTTGCTCCTTTATTGTTGCTCCTTTGTTGTTGCTCCTTTATTGTTGCTCCTTTATTGTTGCTCCTTTGTTGTTGCTCCCTTGTTGTTGCTCCTTTGTTGTTGCTCCCTTGTTGTTGCTCCCTTGTTGTTGCTCCTTTATTGTTGCTCCTTTGTTGTTGCCCCTTTATTGTCGCTCCTTTTCCGCTGCCCTTTTGTTGTTGCTCCTTTGCTGCTGCTTCTTCTTCTGCTGCTATTGGCATTAAGTGCGGCTCTTTTCACACGGTTTGGCTGTGCCGGTAGGGGGTATGGTGAAAGGGGTGTTTCTGCTGCTGCTGCTTCTTCTTCTGCTGCTATTTTGCAGAGTTTTTGCGCTTTGGCGTTGCTCGGTGGCCAGCTGCCCTTGACGCTCCCCTCGCTCTGCCGTGTCGGTCGCTTCTCCTCAAGCGATCTCCTGTACACGGGTAATTTTGCATTTGTTGCGAGAAGTCTTGCGACTGCTGCCGACCTCGTTTCTATTAGGCGTCATCCAGGAAACAGCAGACAGCACTCTGTCTGTTCAGGCTTTGTTGGCATGCACGTGCCATGCCACATGAGTTACTGATGCTGATGCTGCTGCTGTTGCTGCATTTAGCGGGAAAAGTCATTGTGAAGAACACACTGCGAGACGCAGGAGTTCTGTGTTGTCTTTGGGGTGGTTTTGGCCCTTAGGTTCGGCGTGTTTGCATCGGAGTGGCTCCCTGCCGGGATGCCCCTCGTGGAGTATGCGGGCGAGGTGTACATACACCCCAAGACCAAGCGTTACCCTCCACCGCAGCTGGCTGAAATTCGGTGAGCGCTACCTGCGGCTGTTGAGGGATGCGAGGTCCATCTCTTGCGATCACAACGTCGAAGCGGGTAAAAATTTCTCTCCGTTTTGCACGACACGCAACAGAGCAGCACCACTTCACGGGCTTCTTGCATGGATATGAATTCGTCTGCTGCTGTCGCAGCGAGGCGCGTTATGACTGGCAACACGGGAACTGCTACTGCTTTGCTGTCGAGGAGACGTTATGCACGCGATACGTGGACGCTACAGACATGGGAAACCTCGCGAGGTTCGTTCTTGCTGCTGTGTGGCTTTGGCGGTCTGGCTGCCTGCCTCTTTCCTCGCTCGCTGACAAGCTGGCCAGTAGTAATAGCTCGCTCCCTCTTTATGCAGAGCGAGATCAAGGCGGTTTGCCGCCATAGGCAGTGCCCTTTCCCAGCCTGCACTCCCCATGCTACCTTTGGCTGACCTTCCGAGCATTCGAGTCAGTCCAGTGCTGCACCTGTGTGTGTACTAAAGACAGCGGCAAGCGCCGGAGTCTACAGCCGTTTTCCCTTCCGAACCCTCCTGACGAAGGAATCCTAGGGCCGTCTCGCTGCAGAAACACACGTGCGCTCAACGCCACAGGGGAAGCATTAGCGGCACACAGTCCAACTTGCGCGTCTGTATCTGCAGGTATATCAACCACTGCTGCGAGCCGAACGCCGAGTCCGTGCTGCTTGGCGACAGCGTTGTAGGCATCTCTGCCCTCAGAGACATCGTTTCAGGAGAGGAGGTGTTCTATGATTACCAGTACGCTCTGCACAGTTCTGCAGCAGCAGCATTCATTGCCCGCCCATTGCAAATTCTCTAGTTGGTGCCTATGTGCGTGGATTCCCCATTGCTGCTGCATCTTGTGTTTCCTGGCTTGCATGTGCATGTGCCGCATGCAGCTTTTCCGACTCCTCAAAGGAAGGCTGCCTTTGTCAGGCGAAGACCTGCACGGGAAGCATGTAGCCTCTGCCTTTTTTTTTGAAAATCCATGTAGAATATCTGTAGTCTACTTGCGCAGGGGTGTTGCTTCAGTCTTTTCCGGAAACACGGTACAACCAGCCCCTTTTTAGCTCCCTCCATATATCCACTGCAGCGCGAACATTTCGTTTGTTTCGTAAACTATCTCGAACGACAGCTAGCACAGCGGCGTGTAAGCCATATTCAAATCTAACTAGCTGGCAAGTTGCACGCTTCTGGACGCCAAGATCTCCCCAACAAGGAGCCTTCAGCAATATACGCCTACGCGCGGGGTGCTGGATGTCTAGGCTCCCTAATACGCGCTCAGAGGAGCAGGGCGACTACATGGCTGCATGCGAGCACCCAAAAAAATGCCCTCGCTGGCATCAGCAACATGGCATACACTTCACAAAGTTCTTTTTGACCGAAACATTTTTTAAAAGTCAGAGAAGTCATTGCGGCTCCCTTGAAACGGAATGCAAAGTTTTTGATGTACTCACAGGGTGTCTTCCCAGCAGCGGTGAGATAGCAATGTGTGCACACGGGCAGGTGCTGCTGGTGCAGAAGTTGTTGAACGGGTGCGCCTGCCGTTCTCATCAACGCCAGCCGTCAGTCATTTCTTGCTGCCGGTGTTGACGACTTGGAGGTTGGAGTGTACTGGCTGCGCAACTGCTGCCAATGTGGCTTCGACCTTGGATATGCTCACGGCCTTTGCTGGCTGCGTGCAGAGGTTACCACCACACAGCATTCCGGGGAAGCCCCCGTCATGAAGGAAGAAACGCGTCAGCAGGCTGACAGACACTAACGTCCATCGTCAAATCATTTCAGCAGGAGACGATCCTACACATGTATATATAGGCATGACTTAAGCTTACGTTTCTGAGGATCCTTTGAAGCTTATCCTTCTTGCCGCCCTCTTTCGGCTTGTGAGGTTTGTTCTTGCGGGCATGGGAAGCCACGACCTTTGCTTTCTTCGGAGGGCACTGCACCATTATGTCGGCTGGACTGCTCAAGAATTGTACTTGGCGATGGCGTTGCAAGCGGGGGAATCCTGCTAGGGGAGAGCTTCCAGCGGCGGCACGAGCTGTACAGCGCGTCGGTGAGAAGCGAACGCGCGCGCCTAGCAGCACCTGCAATGAAGGATACAGTCTATCCGACGCATATACATATATTATGTATGTCTATAGACCTTAAACGCATATGAAGGCTGTGTATCGGGCCGAATTTTTATTTGCTTGGGATGCTATTATGGGCAAGACCACCCGCATGCTGCACGGCTGCAGCCCCGTCGTGCTCACACGCGCCCCCGACTGGCTGCTCCCGCATGCAGCAGGCGGTCCCTCCGCAGTTCTCGCTTTTTATCCAGCAGCAGCAGCAGCATACCAAACCATTTGGAGGGCTGTCTGTGTGGCTCGGGATGGCCGTTGGAGGCGCTGCTGTAGAATAATCCGCACAGTCGCCCAGACACCCCAGCGAGCAGTCAAAGATAGCCAGTGTTTAGAGGCTCTGCTGCATCCTGCTGGCCACTGCTGCTTCCTGTTTAGCCCGCTGCTGACGGCAGCTCTGACTGCTACACCGCAACACCCTCGCCAGGGGGCCTACCGCGACCACGCGCAAGGCAGTTTTCAAGCAGCACAAAAACACGGATACAAGCAGTGCGTGCTTTCTCGCAGCCGCGGCAGCCGCCGCTGCAGCTGTGCCCCGCCCGTGGCTGCAGAAGATGGCATCCTCTCTCGTCATTACCTCGTCATCCTCGCAGGGGGGCGTCATGTCTTCCTCCCTAGCGCCCTCTGGACTATCTCTGGGGTCACCTACCTCCAGCGGCGCGCCCCTAGGGTGCGCCGCGCGTACAGACACCCGCGGCAGCAGCATGCACGGCAGCTGTTCGCGGCCTAGCAGCGTTCTGCGACACGTTGCGGTTATCGAGAAGCAGGCGCATGCACGCAGCAGCAGCTGCTGCTGCTGTACAGACACCCACGTTTTCGTAGGAGGCACGGGACTCGTTGGGACCATCTTCGTGTGGCGCATCCCCCCGCAGACTCAGCAACAGCATGAGCAGGGGGAACAGAATCATCATGAGCAGGGGGAACAGAATCATCATGAGCAGGGGGAACAGAATCATCATGAGCAGGGGGAACGGAATCAGCAAGAGCAGCAAAAGCCGCCAGGACTTGAATTCGTAGGACTGCTTGGACGTATGGCTTCCGCAATTCAAATGATGGTGCTCAATCAACAAGGGGATACGCTTCTGGCAGTAACGCAAACCGGGTAAGATTGCTGTTTTCTTTAGGCTTGAAGTTGCGATTGTATAGTAGCACAGCCGCCTGTGGAGGGGGGAAGGGAGGGAGGGGAGGTTATTTCAGTGTAAAAGCCAGTCATTTTCTTTCAAAGTGTGTATCCTGATGTAAACATGCGCACAGACGCATCATCCGTATGGGGGCTGTTGCTGCTGCGTTCCTGCCTCGATTCTTTTCTATCGGCGTCCTCTGGGAATTCCTCTCGTGTGCTGTGCGGTGTTGTGGATGCAGGCTGTGTTATGTGTGGTCAGTGGATGCAGAGGCTCTGGACGCTCTTCAGAAAGTGATGGGAGATGCACTTGCATTGACGCCAGGGGCAGCAGCGAGCGCTGCTGCCGCTGCGTGGCGCGGCAGCCGCAACAGTTCGCTGTACGCAAGGAGAGACTCTTTCTTCACTTCCCCCGTCGGAGACGAGCTGCTGCAGCACGGGGTCTTCGAGGCTTCTCAGGTGTATGTACACCTCCTGCTGAACTCCCCGTCACCCCGCTGCGTCCTTGGCGCGGAGGGGAAGGGCTTTGCCGTTCTGGGTGCAGCGATCAGTGGCAGTGGAAGCGCCAGCACGAGCAGGATCGGTGATGACTTGCAAGCCGTAGAGTTTCTGCAGGACGGCAAACTTGTTGTGGCCGCTGCCTCCTGCCCCTCTGCGTATCCTCTGGGGATCTACGAGACGCAGAAGGGGCATCTACTTGCAGCCTTTGCAGCCACAGCTGTCGGCATTCCTTCCAAATCTAGCAGCAGCACAAGCCCCTCTGGTTGCAGCGGAGTGCAAGGAGGAACTGCAGTGCTGCTTTGCAACTTCACAGCTCTTGCTCTTGATCGCTCACGCCCCCCCCCCAGCGTGGCTAGCTCCACCCCAGCCACAGCCGTTGCTAAGGGCCGCTATCTTGCGGCTGCGTCGGATGTGGGTGGCTGTCTCGCCATGGCCTTTATAGAGGACGAAAAACTAGCAGAGCTGCATCGACACTATGACAGCTGTGCGAAGGAAGAGGAGCAGCAAGCAGCTGCCGGAGGACGTGCAGACGCAACACCTGCTGACCAGAGAGCCCCAGTGGTGCCTCAGATCTTGCCGCTTCAGGCTTTCTTCATCAACGAGAGAGCAGTCATGGTAAGCCTTGAACTCGATGCATGCATGTGTGCAATACCTTGCGTGTGTGCCGAGGAATGTAGAGGCAAACTGGCGAGTCGTTGGAATGCGATTACACCTCTGCGTCCCTTGCTGCATGTGCTTCTGCATGCTTCCGTCTGCTGGGATGCATGCACACGGCCGCTAAAAGACTCGTGCAGTGGGAAAAATTGCCGTATAGGCCTCCACATGGTCGGCTCTGCTCGCATGAGCTTGCTTCTCGCTGTCTTATGTGAGAATGAGTGTTTGTGAGCAATTGTGAATGGACATGAGTGTTCGTGTGTATGTGTGTGTTAGAGTGCGCATGTTCATGAATGATTATGTGTATGTGTGTAAGGGGGTGTGTGTAAGTATGTATGTCTCTTCACTTGGGCATGTGTATATGAGTGTATTTGTGTGTATGAATCTGTGTGAATGTGAGTGAATATGTTTGTTTGTGTTTGCATTTGTGAGTGAACATATGTGTGTGTATGCATGTATGCGAATGCTTTTATGAGTGTTTGTATGTGCGCGACTAAATGGTGGTGATGTGTCTGCAGGCCGTGTCGCTCGTATGGCGTCCTCGTCGAAGGATGCTTCCCAGCAGCAGCGTCACCAGCATTCACTTGCTGCTAGGCTGCTCTGACGGATTTATAAGGGTCTGCGCCTTCGTGCCGCAGACGCTTTCAAAGCAGCAGCTGCAGCAGGACAGGCAGATTCAAGTGATGTTTCCGCTACTGCGGCTGAAGAGTGTCACGCTAGCGAGGATTGCATGCGGCATGCAAAATGGTGCGCGCGGCATGTGATACGCATGCCATCGTGTTTGCTGCTGTCGTCCTTTCCCCAATGCCTCCTCTTCTAATGCTGAAATTGATGCTGCTTTGCGGGGGGGTGGGGGCTGGGCGTGTGTTGCAGCGAGTGTGTGCGACATGGTGTACGTACACCTGAGCAACCGGCGTGCGGTGCTGATTGCGAGCTGCAACGCCACTGACTTACCTGCGGATGGCAGCGCTCCTGTAGCTGTATCAGCACTGGCAGGGGACAGCAGCAACAGCAGCAGCAGCAACAGCAGCAGCAGCAACAGCAACAGCAATGGGGGGGGGTTTTACGAGGTTCGAGTCGCGGAGCCTACCCAAGAGGGACTAGAGACTGTCACTGAGGTGCTGCAAAGACACGCAGACTTTATTGTCGGTCTCGCTGCTTCTTCCACCGGAGCAACAATCGCGTCACTCTCTGTGGATGGTAAACTCGTGGTTCGCACCAACAGGGATGCACTGGCTACTACCCCCCCCGCTGCCACTGCCATCGCGTCTAACCGAACAGCGTCCAGTCATCGGTCTGAGCAGCAGGATGCTGCAGCTCCCGCTGCAGCAAAAGCAGCAGCAGCCTTAGAGGGTTCTGCAGCAGCAGCGCATGCGAGTGCTGCTGCTGACGCTCACGACGCCCTCCCCAAGAAGCAGCAGCGCGTGACAGAAGAGGCGCACCAGATAGCTGCAACACGTGACATCGGAGCTGCAGCAGCGGACTTCGACAGAAGCGCAGCAAGCCTTGCTGCACAACGAGGCACTCCAGCCGCAGGAGAGGCTCCAGCGCAAGCTGAAGCCTCCATGTTGAGTGCAACTGGTGCAGAGGAAGCAGCGGCAGCAGACACTGCAGTGGCAGAACGCGATGCGGCACTCAGTGACGTGGAACAAGATAAAATCCTTCCAGGAGACACTTAGTTGCTATGCTACTTGACACTCGAAATAGTTTAGCCGCCTTGTTGCCTCTGCGTCGTCAGTGCAGCAGGAGCAGCTCATGGTTCCACCCGCGAAGGGAGCTTTGAAAGCTTTTACGATGCCGCTGAAGCACCCTGAAAAAGCTGAAGCTATAACAGCGTCTGCTACTATCACTGCGGTGTTTTAAATATGTACACCTAGAAAGGGCTTTTAACTGGTAGCTTGCAAAAACAGCCACTGCATTAGAACCAGCTATACAGGGTGCAGCAACTGCTTGCATGGAATATTTCAAGGCTACAGAATACGCTGTCACCGCAGCTGCATCAGCAGTAGGAGGGCTTTTTGGCTGCTGCAGCTGAAACCTTGTTATGCCAAATCCCCTTGTGTGCGTTCTCTCATCGCTCCTTGCATTCAACCCTGCTCTCAGCAGCGCTTGTTGGGGGGACGGGGGGAGGGGGAAGTTGCTTCCTTTGATCACTGACCAAGCAGCTGCGTCGGCAGCAGCTGCACTGCCGCGTGCTTTTTCACGCCATGACTGTAAGTGCTGCTGGAGGGACTGCTGCTGCTGCAGGCATGACTTGCAACCGAGCACCAACATATTGAAAGCAGCTGCAAGCCAGGGAGGGAGGAGAGGACGTGCTGTGGTGCGCGCATCGCTGCTGCCAGTATTGCTGCTTTGAGCTGCGATTTCTTCAAGTCCAGACTCTCATGGGGTACCCATGCAGACACACAGTGCATTTAAAAATTTTTTTTCACGTTACTTGATGGCTATGCGGCAAGCTGGTCGCCACTGCGGCAACAAACGGCTGAAGGAACTGCTTGCTGCCATAGATCGCGCTGCTGCAGCAGGAGCTTCAGATAGTGTTGCTGCGATGATAAGGAAGTACGGCTTTGGCAACACACAGACACTGCGCTGCTTTTGTTGCTGTTACTCCGTGGAGCCGAGGCTTTCTCTGCTTGCTGTTCAATACAGCGACAGTACACTGCCAGCGAGTTAGTGACATGAGCGTCAGGAATCAATGCAGGGTTCATCTGTTCCTTTGGACCGGTTTTCTGATTGCGAAGCCTGTCGCGGCAGCAGCAGCCGCTGTTGCTGTCACGTAATCACCTTGTAGCTTTGCTGCTCACGAGCGACAGTGCATGTGCCTCTTGCGTGGTTTGATGGTACTGGCGCTCCTGGAGCGGCATTGCTGCCAATCTGCAGTAACAGCTTGGGCATGTAGGCCTTGATGTTAGCAACTGCTGCATCGCGTGTGTTGATGAGTGGCTTTTGCCCCTGCTGCACTGCAGCTCAGGAGCTGCTCGTGTGCGAGGAGGCCAAGCCCAATGCCCCAGCTGCTGCAGTATGCGCAGTTGCTCCATGCATGCAATGCGTCAGGAAGGCTTTGCAGCTGCGATTTCTCTTGATCTTGTAGTTGGAGGGACTGTCACCCTGGAGTACAGCCTCCATCAGTGTGACCCCACGTTGCCAGTTTCTGGTACGGCGGAATGCAGCCTACCGAGCTGCTGCGCAGCTCAGCACCCTCCCTTACTGCCGATTGTGCTGTGCAGCCGCTTCACAGTGCTCTCTAGGTCAGGCCGCCGATACGTCAGCACAGAGAGTAGCTACAGCTCCGCAGGAGTATTCACAGCTAGATTCTTGCTGCTGTGGCAGTATTTTGTTCTTCGCCTGTTTGCGTGTGCCGAGCTCTCGACGGCGCGCACCACTCCTGCTGCTGAGCAACCAAGCGCAAACCATCAAGACTGCTGCTGCCATGCATGGGGTATGGGATATGTGGCATGTCGTCTGAAGTGCCTCGCAGCAGAGACCCTGTCTGCTGGTGCGCTGGTTGGGCTTAACGGTATCGTGTCTGCACGTTGTGCGTCTGTTGTACACGTGCTTCTCCTTTCTTTGCCCGTTCCGCATGCCTCTGTTGGTGGTGCTTGGCTCAAGCAGGCTTTTGCTGCTGCGTGTTTCCTCACCCCGACGGCAGGAAAGCAGCCCTTTGCTGTTGCTCTCTAGCGCTGGCTGGCTGTTGTGTGCTGTGTGCTCTCCAAAGCCCCACAAAAAGGCATGCTCCTGTCAGCCAGCTTGCTCCTGCTGCAACAGAGCATGCTTCCTGCAAACGAGCAGCACCTGTCGCTGCTCGCACGGATGTATTCGCTGCGCAACTCTTGCTGCAGCAAACCCTGCTGCCGCCACAGAGCAAGCTGCTGCACTGTCCACAGTTGCTCGCTCTGCTCGGTGCATGCGCAATTGCTTTTGTGCCTGCAACTGACCCTGTGCCCCACATGCAAGGCTGGCGCTGTTGGAGCAGCTCCCGATGCCGCAGCCACACAGTGTTGCGCATGCGTTGTTGTCGGTAATGATGCAGTTGAGGATGCAGTCACTGCTGTTTTCCTGTGCATACACCCTCCTAGAACACAGTGAATGACGTCCGCGCTGCTGCCGTTCATGTGCTTGCTGCTGCAGTCCCTTGCAGCAGCTTGTGCTCCTTGAGCTCACGCGCTTGCCGACGCTGCCCCTCTGCTGTCCAACTAAGCCCAGCGCTTGTGCTTGCTGCTCATCCTGCCAGGTGCGTCGTCGTTGTGCCGTCAAGTGCATCGCCTACCAGCTGCTGTTGCTGCAGCAGCACGTTCGCCGCATACACCTGGGGCCACTGCCCGATTTCTTGTTAGTGAACTTCTCATGGGTCCTGTACGCGATGCATCTTATATCCCTCCAGTTGCTGCAGGTGTTGCTCTTGTTACACGGCATTCTCTTTTTGGTACTGCAGGTGATAATCAATCAGCTGGCGTTGTCGCAGCTGCTGCCGTCTTTCTTGCTGCCTCTCTAGGTGCTGCTCCAGGAACCGTTGCTACCTTTTTTGCTGCCCTTGCCCTCTCCCATGGGCTTCCTACTGAATCATAAGAGAGCATTCCACCAATAGCTGACAGGTTTGCCTATGATGATGCTCGTCTATCTTGCGCAGAAGTTATTGTCGTCTCCAGGGAGCTCATGAGCATGGCATGCAGCTGCCGATGATGCTTTTGGATCATTTGATGCAGCGACTCTACCTTCTGTCCGTGACTGGCCAGTTTGATGTCGAGACTGAGCAGTCCTCAAGGCTCTTGCAACTGCTGCTGCTTGTACATGCTGTGCTATCTTGCGCTGTGCGACATGCAGCTACGGCCAGAAGCATGCGATATCCTCCTTGCTGCGGCAAGGCTTCAACAGGTATAGTCATAGCGTCCCCATCAGACGGCTGTTCGAATGCGTGCTGCACTTCTGCCACTGTTGGCTTTGTCGCTGCGCTTGAAGCAGGAGCTTCTCAAACAGGGACTGGATTTCCTGAACTGGCGCGTCTGTTCTACCGAAGGCAAAGCATGCACCTGCCTCCGCAGCGACAGCTGTTGCAGTTTATGGTGCTTCCCCACGAGGCGAAGCGGCGAGAGCGGCACCAAGAGCAGGCTGCTCTTTTTTACAGCAGCAGTGGAGTGACACTGCGTTGGTAAGAAAAATGGAAAACGGGCGTTCCCGGAGCCGTAGCAGCAATGCGGCCGTACATGGCAGTAGCAGCAGCATCAGTAACAGAATCAGGAGAAGCAACAAAGAGCATATTTCGGAGGCATCTTAGCCACCCTTGCTACCGGTGGTTTTAATTACGACAACAGCCTGTTGTGCTGCTGGAGGAGCTATCTGGTGCCAACGCAGCCAGTCGTGCCTCCCCCAAGGCCATATGAAGTCTCTTCACGTTTAAGAAAATTCTTTACACCCGTTGATGTAGCGTCAGGGAGTCGACAGACGTGTGTAGCTTCGATACAGTACTGATTTATTTTACCACCCAAAGCATCTTTTACCCCTGCAACTGCAGACACTCTACATTGGACCCCAAAGTAAGCTGTTTCTTCCCGTTGGCGCACCTTCATCCTGGCCTTTAAGGTCATGCGGAAGCACAAGAGCAGCTGAGAAACTAGAGCAACAGCTGCATGAGGTGACCCTCAGACGTCTTCGCTTTACACCAGGCTCTACAAGAGTATACACCCATACCCCCTCGTTCTGTGCTCTCAAGATGTAATTGCCTCCGATTTGTTTTAATAGGAACCAGGCAGTGCGGTGTCGCTGCTGCTGAACAGCCAACCTGCTCATGCATGGGGGATTTCTGCCCCCTGACCATACAACCAGGTGACTTCAAATCTATCAATGCAACAGGATGTCTGCCGTGTATACTGCTTCCGCCACACAACACGAATTGTGCAGACGATCATGCTGCACAATCTTATTTTTTATGCCTCCAGTCTCTCTACAGACAAGGCGTCTTGTGGGAAGGGCCTGGGATATATGTACACAGATCTACGACCCCTACAGCTGGACGCACACTCACGACTGTCACAGACACCGGTTTTTTACGGCCTTCAGAGTAATCTGCGTCCGTGGTTTTTTTCTTGCGTTCCCTCTATAGCTTCAAGTGTAGCGGGGCAGCAGAGGAGGTGCATGCAGGTTGCCTGTATTGTGCGAAGGCATAAAGAGTATGCGCCAGAGGGAGGGGCAGTAAAACGGGCACTTGCTCTCACGCAGGCTGGCAGTCAAGAGGACTCTCGCAATGGTATCCACGCACTTTGTCGACGAAAACTAGTGCAGCAGGAAATGCGCAAGTATAGCGTTGCCCGCTAGATTGCAAGCCCAACTCGATATGGGTCAGTGCAACAGTGCTTAAAAACCGTCCTTTTCTGCATCTTGTTGTAGCAAACCAAGAGCAGACACTAGCTGCTCCAGTTCTCCTAATGGTTGTTGCTGCATCAACTGCTGTTCCAGGGTGTACGTACACCCAACTCTGAGAGCTGTAGTGGCAGCGGCAACGACAGCACAAAAAGGGACGGCCACAGAGTCGGAGACAGACACTGTAGAAGCAACAGCAACAGATGCATTCGCCTCATCCCGTATTTCGGGGAGGCTCCTCAAATAAGCAGCAGCAGACAACAGCAGCTGTTCATCGCTCAGCCCTATTAACTGCTGCAGTCCCAAGGTGCTGCCTTGCTGCACTCTCTGTAGCACATGAATTGCAGCTAGCAAAACCGGAACGGAGGCACACATCGCCTGCTGCTGCTGCTGCTGCGTGTGCTGCTGCAGCTGTAGGGGGTGCTGCAACTGTTCTTGCTGCTGTTTTCGTTGCTGCTGTTGCAGCATGGCGTATTCAGAAAGCAGGTGTGGGGTAGAGAGGCACAGCAACCGGCGGACCTTGCCCAGCAATTCGCTGTGGCTTTTCAAGTGTACATGTAGCTGCGGATATGCCAGCGATAAGCATCCCTCGGCATCTGCCAGACAGCATGCGAGAGAAGCCCGCTGACTGTCGAGTCGTGCCGCGCTCAAACACACTGCAGCAACGACTCCCTGCAACAAAGGGGCAGCAGCAGCATCCTGACCACGAGAAGCTACCAAAAACTAGCCAGCCAAGAAGCTGCAGCACGGCAAGCCCGTCTCCTCACTAGACACAGCAAAGACAGTGCCCACAAGGATTGGCTGTAGGAATTGCGAGCGGATAAGCAGTCGATTTCCGCTTTGCATGAGCATGCTGCTGCGCTAGTTTCAACAGGAGTGTACCTGGAGCAACTGAACGCATAGACCCTTCGCTTCCATGTCGCGAAGGGGAGGAGGCAGCAGAGACAGATACTGCTGCTTCAGCTGCATCACAGCCCTCTCAAACCTTCGCATGCACCTGAGGGGGTCAGCCCGCTGCTGCTCTTGCTGCAACTGCTGCACCTCGATCGGCAGCACAGCAAAGATCTGCTGGTAAATAAGCGTGAGCGGAGGCCCTAAGAACCACTGCTGCATCAGCTCCTTCTGCAACAAACAGCAGCATCACGAAGGAAAAAAGCGAAGCTAAAACCGCAAGCCGAATGCCTCATGATTCGGCATGTCTTCAACCCCTCCCAGCGCCTGCTTCGCCGCTTTCCCGAGGCTCAGTCGCACCGCTAGAAGCCGACAAGTGCACTGTTCGTCGAGTTTGCTCCTGAGAGCGCCCAAGCAACAGTTCAAGATCAGTGCAAGATGACGGATGAGAACAAAGGCCTACCTTCAGAGCCTCTATTTCCTGGAAGGCTTTGAGTTGCAGCAGTGCGGCTGCCGCTGAACCTTCGAAGCCTCCAGCATCTTTCTGCGCTGCAGCGACACTCAAAAAGCACATACGGCAGCAGTTAGCGCCGTGTGGAGCAGCAGCGGCAGCATGACCGTCGACATGTCGAACAGCACCGTCGTTGGCTACACAGCAGCAGGTAAGACGCGCCCGCCTGCCTGCATGCATGCCTGCCTCACCAGCCTGTTTCGTGCGCTGCAGCATCAAAGAAAAGAGACTGTACGTCTTCGCCAGGCACAGCCGGGCCGCTGCTGTTGTACGCTGCATCACGAGCAGACGCAAAAGCAGCGAACGGGTGCAAAAAAAACTGAGGGCAAGCCTCATAAGATATGCATCCTTTGCAGCGGCAACACAATGGAGAGGGAGCTCTGAAGAAGAAAGACTTCAGAGAAATGCAATACACAGTGGCGAAAAAGGATCCGCGCGCTTCGGTATTGCTGCACATACAGCGCGAGTGCTCCTACAGCAGGGTCCAACGACACTATGGCTGCTGCTGCTTGCATCCTTACATTGTGCTGCGGTGTATCGTCTAGAAGAGAAGGAGACTCTGCTGCTGCTGGAGGAATTTGCAGCGCGCACAACCACATGAACAAAGCCAAAGAGCTGTCGCAGGCAGCCCTCGCCTGCAATCGCAGTCATAGCATGCAACGCAGTGCAAAAGCTGCTGCCATGTGGGGGAAGAAATAAACAGCCGCAGCAACGTGCAGCTCGCAAAATACCCCAGAGGACGACTCCGAGCGGTAGACAACACAGCACAATTTGCAGCCTATCCGCTACGGTTGGATCAGCAGGACGGCAGAGGCAACACGAGGAAAGAGGAGGAGAGCACTTGCGTCTTTCGCAGAAACTGCAGTGGCAGCTCGGCACCTGCTCGAAAAGCGGCTCCCCTGCAACTTGTGAAGTCGCAAGGTGTTGCAGCATTTGTCGCAAAAATGCTCTTAGATCTCCCGCTGTAGGGTATACATTGTTACTGCTGTTGATGCAATGCCTAAGCTTGTACAGGCGTTGCAGCACGCGGCTGCTGCTGCTACTGCGCTTCTTCTCCTGGTGCTGCTGTTGCTGTTGCTCCTGCTCTTGTTGCGCTTGCCGCTGTTGCTCCTGCTCTTGTTGCGCTTGCCGCTGTTGCTCTTGTTGCGCTTGCTGCAGCAGCTGGGGGGAGAAGAGCAGCTGCAGCGTGTCTTCGTGAAGGCAGCACAGTCGCTGTCCGTACAGCCCGAGCAGCTCTTTCACGCTGCCCAGCAGCTGTGTCTCCTGCGCATTCGCTGCAGCAGTGGCGGCAGCAGTACACAGGAACCACGTGCATGCAATGCATGCATGCCAAACTGAAGCCGTTCGCTTAGCAGCACGCTGTTGCGTGCAGCAGCAGCAGCAGCACAAACACCAAGAGCGGCAGCAGCAGCAATCTTAGAAAACGCACTGAGAGGATGCAGGAAGGCGCCACTCGTTCCAGCCTTCCGCCAACGAGAGACGAATGCCCGTAATAGCAGCACTAACAGAGGCGCACAGTCCACGAGACACCAGGCTGCGGCTTCCTCCTCATTTTGCTGCAGCAGAAGTGAACTGGATGCCATGCGTTGACTCGCGAGATGCTGCTGATCCGGAGTTTGCTGCTGCATCTGTTCTGCAAGTTGCTGCAGCGTTCGGCTGCGGGTTGTTAATTGTCTGCAGCAATTCCTGAGGTGTACAGACACTTTGCGCAGCAGCTCCGCTGCAACGGAGGGAACAAAGCCCCTCTCGCGTAGCCAGTCCCCCATTGTTGTGTTTGAAAAGGGGGAAGCATCAGAACTGGCTAGCACCTGCAGCAAAGCAGCATCAGAAGTAGCAGCATCGCCGAAAGTGCCAGGAGGGGAAACCTCCAAATAGGACGATAAACACGTCCTACAGACGGAGTGAAGGCAGCAACTGCAACAGCAACAATGGCTGCTGTTATTGAGAGGCACCCGTTCCAGCAGCTCATATTGCGCATCTGGTAGCATTAGGCACTCGACAGCATGTGGCGCCCTACCCCAGCATATCAGTACGCAGTCACGGCAGTTCAAAAACACCAGCAACAGGAGAATTCCGAGATACCTTATCAAGAAGGAAGGCCTGACGTAGTTTCTCTTCTAAAGACGACAGTCCAGAGACAGCCCATGCAGCGACTTGGTGCTGGAAAGGAGTGCAGCACACCAAAGAGATGCTGCTGCTGCTTGTTGAGCCGTCGCAGTAGGCTGCCACATCCGCTGCTGCAGGCGTAAGCTGCTGCCCTTTCCCCCCACTTGTTGCGCCTTGTGGAGAAGTCGCCGCTGCTGCAAGTGCGGCACTGCCAGAAGCTGCTGCAGCTGCTGCAGCAGCACGTAGTGAGTCTATTGGTAGAGGCAGACAGACTTCTGCCGTCATTCGCTGCAACACAGACTCCAATGTCAGCTGCGGCTGCTGCAGCGCGAATAGGCACTTGAGGCTATCACCAACGCCTAGTACATCCTGAAGAAGAGACACACACACACACAAGCAAAAACCTGGACCTCATACGATGCAGCAACAGCAGCAAAAACAGCAACAACAACATCAACAACAGCAACAACAACATCAACAACAACAGCAACAACGACATCAACAACAACAGCAACATCAACAGCAACAACAACATCAACAACAGTAACAACAGCAAAAACAGCAACAACATCAACAACAGCAGCAGCAACAGCAGCAAAAACAACAACAACAGCAACAGTATCTTGTGCTGCATTTGACTCTCTCTAGTAACCCTGATCCTTAGTGCTAACTAAGGCTGCCTACCTGCTTGTGCAGCGACTCCTCCAGCAAAGCTTTTGGCTTGCTGCGAATCTCCTTTCCGCAATCCACCATTATCTGCAGCGCTGGCTGCAAGCACTTGAGTTCACGAAGCGAAAAACATCCGGGAGTCGCCCCTGTCGGGGGAGCGTCTTTATTAGTGCCCTTCGATTCGGTGGAATCTCTGCCGCTGCCGTTCTCTTTGTCTGCTGCCAGTGCTTCCAGCTGCGCAACAAGAAGACAGAAAGGCTGTGTAAGACCATCTGACAGCTGTGGAGGATTCGCTGTGCACTGCACAAGGCCTTATTAGCTAGCGAGCCTTTTGCGGTGTCTATTTGGCTTCACGCCTCGAGGCAGTGAAAACCACACGTGCACACGGTGCACCTGGATCAGGAGGTCAGCCTTTTTGTGATTTGAAGCCTCTGACTGGAGGCGTTTCAGACACCGAAGAAATTGCAATGCCCCCACAACAACCTGCTCCGCATCTAGCAGTCTGAGAACGCAGCACAAGCGTCAGCAGCAGGGGCAGACAGCCGGGGAGGCAAGAGCGACAGTGGCGGAAATTATGAAATCTCATGAAAAAACTCGTGCAAAAAGCTCATGGAAAACTCATGAAAAAACTCATGAAAAAACTCATGAAAAACTCATGAAAAAGCTCCCGTAGCAAATGGAGCGGCGAAGGGTCGCATGCTGGGAGAAAGACTCGCGTTGAAGGAGGCTTAGTTGCGTTTTGTTCGCTCTAAAAAAGCGGGAAGAGAACTCCTCTCCAGCGACACTGGGGAAAGCTCTCTACGCGTGACGACAAGGCATTCGAAGCATCAGCGGGGTAGAAGAAAAAGACGCATGCCCTTCACCAACGCACTTGTCTGCTTCCTCCACGGATGCCTCGAGACGACCGGCACTGTGCTGCGTCTGCTGATGCAGCTTTTGCACATGCTGCGAGATGCGGTGTACCTGCTGCTGCAGCTGCTCTATGCAGCAGGAGCTAAGTCCATCCTCTTGTGCTCCTGCATCATCGCTGCCGTCCCCGCGGAAGCGCAGAGAAGCGGATGCATTCGGCATGCCATGCTGCGCAACACTGTCGCTGCTAGATTCACTGCGGCTGCTGCCGCTAGGTCGGAGCAACTCTGCAAAGTAGGAGACTCCTGGAAGCAGCGATCCAAGGTGCGATGACAGCTGCGACAAAAGGGAGACGGCGTGGCTGTAGGCCGTGTTGTTCGGGGTGTACATACAGGCTGGATCGACAGGAACTGAGGAGGATGAAAGTGACGGCGCTTTGCTGCTTTCCAAAAATGCAGCCCCTGAATATTTCTCTACCAGCGCAAGAGCTTCAGTAGACGCGCGCATGAAGTCTCAGGGTTCAACATTTCGAGCTCACCTGGTTGCGTATTTGCGTGTCGAGTGCGACGACAGCCTCTTCCAGCTGCTGCAGTCGGTGTCCAAGGGCCTCAGGACCCTCCCCGCTCACTCTTCTAACAAATTCTCCTACACTGAAAGATGCTTCTGCTGCTCCGGGAACTGAAGACGCTTCTGGGGAGTCTGCAGCAGGGGGTTCCCGACCAAGAGACAGCAGCTGCAGCACGGAGGGCGGCAAATGCTGCTCTGCAACTGACCGCAAAAGACCAGAAATCCAAAAAAGAGAGTTCCATCCGCTTGCAGCTGCAGTGCGATACACTGAATTCGCGACAGAAGGTCAGGGGGGAGGGATCCGGAAGGGGAAAGGCGGTGTTGCAAGGAGCTCCCCCAAGCCAACACACAGCGCAGGGCCCACTCCTTGAGCATAAATTCCCCTGCTGAAGTCGCTTTGCGGCTCACTGGACGCAACAAGAAGCAGGGAGGGAAAGGCAGACAAGACACCAGCAGCACGCGAGCAGCTCACCGTCCAGACGAATGCGTATCGAGGGACCCCCTTCAAGAGAGGGAGAGGACGTGGAGGACGGCATCTTGCCGCCTTTTTATGCAATTTTACGTGTATTGGTGAGCTGTTTCTTCCGCAGCATGGCTGCTGCGCCCAGGGAAGCGGGGGGCCCCCCTGGTTCTCCAGCGGGTTCCTCCCCCGACCCCTGGGGGCCCTCCAAGCCTAGAGGCGCAGGAGGGAAGTTTCAAGCAAGCCGTGTCTTTTTGTTTTATCGACAGAATGCTTAAGGAAAGCGACCTTTGTTAGGGCCTCCTGGAGTGCTCGATTGCGCGTGGGCAGCCTTTGATATCCTACCCTGTACTTCCGAAGCACATGTCTGCCGCAGCGCAGATGTGCGCGATCGACACCCCGCAGGTAAGCTCACCCCGAAGCAGATCGCCGCATGCAAGAGGCCAGAGAGGGTTCCTAAGCTCTAAAATGACTCGCAGAACCGCATGCAAGCAGACTTGAAAGCCCCCGATTGGTGTTCTAGGTTCTCATGAGCAATCCTAAATCCAACCACCCCAAACCTCCAACAGCCTTCTACGCTCGCGTTCGCCACTGCCCCGCTCCATCGGTTGCTGTCGCTGCTGCTTTACTGGCGTTCCCGCCACGTCTCCTGTTGAGACCACCCCTTCACTGCTGCGCCTGTTAAATATATCGCTTCTACAACAACGCTATGCACTTGCATCTTTAGCCTAATGCGCTACTGCCGTCCCTAGACTAAGCTCCCGCTGCAGGAGCAACCAACCCTCCCCCCGGCGCTACCACGTCGCCTCCTGCGCACCATCTGATCTGTGGATGTACACCAAAAAATCGGTTCCCTTCTAGAAGCCTCCATAGGAAGGCCTCCATGCAAGGAGCTTCGCGTGCCTCTCTAGAACCTAGAGGTTAATGTGCCCTTCGCTGTGACGAGTTGAGGGGGGGAAGGGGGGGCACGCGGGTTGTTGGAGCGAAAAGCAGAGGACCCCTCCTAGTTTTCCTTGTAAAGCTCCTTTCAGGGTTACTTCACTCATGTTTAGAACCCTTCACCCCCTCTCCTGCCGTCTGTGCTTCAAAACAGCACGCCAAATACTTCGCTGCAGTTCCTGCCTCTGCGGAGAAAACGGGTTATCCCGCAAAACTCTGCGCTTCCACCATCTCAAGCGGAAAGCAATCTTCACAGGGGCACTGCCTGCTTCATCGGGAAAGATTTATTCAGAAGTGCTGCTGCTGCTGCTGCTGCTGCTGCTGCTGCTGCTGCTGCTGCTGCTGCTGCTGCTGCTGCTGCTGCTGCTGCTGGCGGGAATCTGGCAGGGACTGTCGAAACCGATGCTGGTTCTTCCGCTACTGCTGCCACTGCTGCTGATATTGCTGCTTGAAGTTTCTGTTGGTTCAGACGCGGGTGATCTGGGTGGATTGCTGCTGTTGTTGCTGCTGCTGCTGCTGTTGCGGTTCAAGAGGGGCATCAGGAACTGTTTAGGCCAGCTGAAACGCGCAGCAACACGCCCAAAGAAGCCTCTTTTGGAGTACGGCTGAAGGGCCTGAACCCCAGCAACATACCCTGTGTCCTCTTTGCACTTTTCGACTGTTTCTGGTGATACTTCGAGGGGCGTATCGTCCGCTGTTGCTGCTGGAGTCGCAGCAGCATCAGGCGGCTCCGCGAAGCCCAGGAGAGACAGTTTTTCTCGCTGCATTAAGTTTGAGTCCATGCGGCACTGCAGAAAGGCCTTTGCGAGCCCACGACATGGAAAGTGGTCGTAAGCCGCAAATCTACCAGCTTGCGGGGACTGGTGCTGGGTAAGGCACTGCAAATACCGACGCTGCGCCTCGCTGCATTCGTGGTCTCTGTCTAGGGGGAAGCTGCCCTTAGCAGGGGGTCTTGAAGGGCCCCTCACTGCAGTCGCAGCCAACGACATTCTACAGCCCTTCGCATAAGGTCTAAAGAGGAGTGCCAGCCGTCCTTCGCTTTCTGCCCACAGACGCTTTTTCTTCACCGTTAGTGAGGCATAGCTTAGCCGGAAACACTATAACTTCGAGCTTCCCAGACTTGCGCTGAAAAAATCTGCTCCGTCAGCCCTCCCTCGTGCATGCGCGCCTATACAGCAAGCCCGCCCTGTACAGCTGAGAGTGCGGCATGGATTCTAGTCTATTTTGGAAACCGACACCATGAATCTTTACATTTATGGTGCAGAAAAGGCTATTTATTTTCCTTGTGCTGCCCTAGAAAGGCAGGGTCGCCTCTTTCTTCATCCTTCTGGCTTCCTCGAAGCCCCCCTAGGTAGCTGAGGACCGACCAACTGCAAACCCTGCACCCTAAAGTGCGATGTTATTGGGCTAAGACCTTGAATATGACTGACTTAATGCTCTGAAGTAAGTATCTGCGTGTGCATGTATACATATGTGTATTATCACTCATGGCGGGTCGTCTGCCTGCGAGGCCCTACAGCAGCATTGCCAGTAGCGCCCGAAATCCCTTAGTGATGCCGCACACTTTGAGGGGCTTTGCTGCATGTGCAGCAACGAAAGCGGCACGAGGGCATTCGGCCGCACTGTCTGCTGCTCTTCAGACAGGTCGATCAACAGCGCCACCTGCACATTGCTGCGCCTTTCGGGGAAGTCTGTCAGCCATAGGCTCTGCAGCAGCTGCAGCAGTGCCTGCAGTAGAGCACGCTTCACTCAGGGGCCTCATGAACCAGCAGGGGCGCTACCTGCACTTCGCTTCCCGAGCTGAATTCAAAAACTTCCTCAAGGGACCCAGGTCAGCGGCTGCTGGTTGTAATTGCCGCTCTTACTGCCGCTTCTGTGATCCGCCAGTTCACATTTTTTGCAGATGCCTGTGCTAGGGTTCTTGCTGCAGGGAGGGGCGTCTGGTCCGAGGCGTCCCGACTTTGGAATACAGAGCGCTTGGCCACAATCGTCAGAGGCGCCAGTGGCCTTATTTTATTCGAAGGGCTTTCTTCTGCCCCCAGACGCTTCCAACTTACCGTGCGCTGCTGCTGCAGCAGCAGCCCCTCACTCCTTGCAACAACAGAAATAACAGGATCTTGAGCCCACGAGCTGCTGCGCGTGTTGTTGCTGCGCGTTCTGATTCCAGTGCAGCCGTTTCTGGTGCAACGCGCTCGGGGGAGCTGAGGAATAGAGGCCACGGGCAGCATGCCCTCGCTTTGCACCTCAAGTCGTACCTCAACAGTGCCGGCAGAAGCGGAATCGGTGAACGCCTGCTGCTGCAGTACACCTCTGATGCTGCAGTAGCCAGGCAGCAACTGCAGCGGGCGCTGCAGCAGGAAATGCCCTATGTGGAAATAAACGCGCAGTGTACGGACGGCAAACGATCCATTTCTATCAGCTGCATGAAACAGCAAGAAGATCTGTTGACTCTCAAAGTGTCGGGTAGGATTCGAGATTGCGGTTTCTTGGGGACTGGCTAAGACTTGGGGTGTATATACAGCTCAGGAATTGGAATTGAGAGAGGTCATAATTTGCGGTTGTATGTGGATCGTTGCAGACACGAAGGCCTTCGACACCCAAAAAGCAGTAGTGGCTATCCTTTCGCGGCTAGGGTGTCTGTAGGGCCAGTGCTCAATGGTTCAACAAACATTAGCTGCTGCCCCTTCAGTGTGTACTAATTTGCAGAGTGCACAAATGCCGTGGGCAGCGGTGCTTTAACCGAAGATCTAGCAGCTAGAGAAGCAGTAGCAGTAGCTCCTCTTCTGCTGCCTGTTACTTGACTCATAAAAATCGCTGCAGTGCTTTTTCCTTTAAGCAATACAAACGAGTCGTATGCAGGATGCAGGTTGTACACAATACAGGCCATTCCCTGCCGGAAGCGTAGAATGCGCCAAGCGTTAGCCTCATCACTATAGAGTTCGCGAGGCGTAGTTCCCCGCCTCTACGCACGGTGCGAAGAAAAAACTTTTAGCGTCGCGGGGGGCAGATCCGAAGCCGGAGGTTGATGGGACGCTCGCCTCTCCTCAATGGCTTACAGGCGGTAGCTTTTGGCATCTGCTCCCTGCTGTCTCTATGACGCTTTTTCCCCAAATGATAGAGGGGTGGCAGCTGTAGTCTAGTGGCTAGGGTATTCGCGTCAAGGGCGCATGACTCTGCACGTGCTCCCCGGCGGTCACATTGAACGACGGTGTTGTGCTTGTAGCTCTTTCTATTCTGCGTTTCTTGACATTGAATATTCACACTGTAGGCTTTATTCTTTTCCACGGCAATTCCTCCTGGGGGCGAATTCTTCAAGCAGTTTTCTGCTCGGGAGCAGGTGTACTCATAACCGAGCCGCCGGACAATGAAGTAGCATCGCAAACGATAATACAACGACCATGACCCCGAGAGAGAGCCGGAGGATGGCAACGCGTAAAAGCTGCCCCCACAATAATCATTGGAAACATCGGCCTTTTGGGGGGCCGCCGGCTATGGCACACGCATACTCGCATGCCGATGCATCAGGCAACCGTCCCCTTTTAGGCTCTTCCTGAGTACTTCATCTCCGAAGGTTGTTGTTTGATGTTGAGAAAACCTCCTGTGCGTAGGCCAATTAATTTTGTTTGTGCGTTTATGTCTGCGTGTGCGTATGTATACGTGTGTGTATGTATGCCTGTATGTGTGTTTACGTGCGTGTGTGTGTGTGTGTGTGTGTGTGTGTCTACGGAACTTCCTTAAGTTGAAAGTTTTTGGCTCCATGTTGTTTCTGATTCTTTCGAAGTGTATGCATTTAGAGTAAGCGTCACCTCGAATGGCTGTGTGTTCTCGCCAAAATCGTGAGGGAGCCGTTGCAGAATCCATCACCATGGCTCCCCATGGCTTTGGCGGAAGCCCACAGGAAGCGCGTTTGGTCGCCTATACGAATTTGTGAATACGCTATATTAGAGTCCTTAACAATAGCCTAAGGTAAACGAGGTCGGGGATTTCTGGTTGTGCCTGGGGCAAACATTTAGAAACGACATGGGCCGACGTGTGGACGACAGGGTCACTCGTCGGCCCCCTTAAATGCATCAGTACGAAAGAGAGTCAGGAGCTACCAAAATAGCAAAAACCTTTGAGAATGTATCTGTGCACCTTGCGAATCCTTGGTGCGGTGTGTGGAGGAGGGGGTGCGGGTAGCCACTGGACTGGCCAGCTGTGTGAGTCATTGCTGCTGCTGCCTCCTACAGTATGCCGCGAAGGCTGCCGTTGCCCCTGCAGAGCAGCTCTCTGAGTGGCTGTATCTTGTTGTTTCTACTTTGTTGAGGCCTTTTCTTCCAGGTGTATGCATAGGCTTTTTTTTACAGTCATACTCGGCAAGGATTTACACGTTGCGCCACGGTGTCTCTCTGTCCCTTATCGTTCTTACCTTCAGTTCCTAACACCCTACAATGAGGATCATATTCCGCCACACCCTGCTGCCCCTGGGGGCAGCTGTGTGCTTATTTTCACACGTATCTGACCCTGCTGCACTAGTTGCAGCAGGAGGGAGAACGCCAGAGACAGAGCCGTCTGGGAGCACCCCTGCAGAAGATAACCCCCGGTTTCTCGATATGCGCGAAAGAGCTAGCCAACGGCTCGAACAAGCAGTGCGACCTGTTTGGGCCTTTTGGAAGGATCTTGCCCTGGAAGATGACGAAGATGGACCTGTAAGGGACGAAGGCCTTAGCTACTTTCTACGCCGACAGGGGCGTTCACACGGCCGGGAGCAGGTCGCTCGACCCGAGCTGCAAGATTCTGATTATGATTCTGACACTGGAGACTATGATTATGTGGGGGGTCCAGCAGAGGAGCAATCCTTCATGGCGGCCACGGACAACGATGAGGAGGGTCAACACCTTTCGAACGATCTGCCTGGAAATGCACAAGCCCAGGCAGATCCGCAAGGCGCTTCCGGAGAGCGCCTCGCCGCTGACTCAGCCCAAACCAGCACATCTGGTGCAGGAGCAGCACGCATGCAGCAAGGGGGCAGGTCAGCTGAAGGCCTCACGGAGAATGGAGACTACGATCAAGACGAGAAAGACGAACCCACTGTAAGTCAGGAATAGCACAGACTGTGTCGAACATTAGAGGCGCGAGAGATGCTTCCCCCACTCGAACTGCCTTTCTGAGATCCGACTCACTAATGACGGTGGTAGGGCTGTGCCTGATTCGCGTAATGAACGAAAACACTCTGGGGTGTACAGGGACACCTGAATGTGGGTCACTCAGTGCTGCTTGGTTGGGTGTGTTTTGTCTGTATTCGCAGTCAAGCACAGGAAGCACCCTCAGGGAAATCATTGTGCAGGATGGTGAGTCTGCCAGAGCTTGGTTAGCGTTTGGAGCATTGGTCGCAGTGTGCCCTTGCGAGGCATACCCGTCTGTACACTTAGTCGTGCGCCTCCTCAGGGCCCCTACTAAATTTTGGCCATTTTCTATCTCTCTGGCTCCATCTACCTACCTAGCTACCACTCTACATTCGGAGTTGTCTCTCCATCCCCTTGAGTACTCGTGACGTTTTCTTTTCAGTCTTGTTCCTGGGGAGCAGTGAACACGAGAAATAGTAGTGTGTAGAGTTTCTAGGTACCTATGTTTCCACTTTTCTCTTGATGCCTGGTGCACAGTGCCTCTTGAGTACAATTATAAATATGACTCCTTCTTGAGTATCAGCTGAACGCTCGCTCTGCTCCCTTTTCATATGTCGTTTTCTCCTTGTCTCGCCCTCTTCTTTCTAATCCTGCGCGTGCACTCATCATTGCACGCAACGCCTACATCTACTCCGTAATACCGTTTTGTCCTCTTGTTATATAGGTCAAAGCCTCTCATTGCTCTCCTTCAAGGTGAAGGATCAGGGCAAGGCAATCCTTGTCAGCTTTTACTCTGTGAGCTTTCTATGCCGCCCATTCCCTTCCCCCCAAATTTTCCTCGTCGAACCTGCCCTTCCCTTGCTTCCATCTATGGTTCTCTGCCTCCCCTTCCCTCTCTACAGACTTCTCTCTCTCTCTCGCAGCTGGCTGCATGCGGTGCCTTCGCGCCTACTCTGCTCCTTTGAGCATTTCTGTGTCGATGCCTGTATGTGGTGTGCCTTTCTTTTGCCTACACCCTTTCAAACGAAAGGCTCGCCTTCCGGTCTGTCCTGCTGCACCCTCTTCTGCCCCCTGCACGCTGCTGTCCTCTTGCCGCTTTACGAAAAGCTGTTAGGCGCTCTGCTGCTGGCTGTGCTATGCATGCCTTTACCTGCAGGCTTGGTCCCTCCACGTTGATGTTCATGGAAATGTAGTAAGGCCTGCTGCTACCGCTGCTACTGCCCCGGCTACGGGCCTTGTAGTTGCGCAGACGCTACAGCTGTAGTTGTTGCGTCTCGCCTTTGTAAGCGTTTCTGCAAAAACAGGGAGACAGGAGGTATTGATGGGTGGCAGTGCCGCTCAAGATGCCTACATCAGTTGGATCATGAGGGATTGGTGCGACTGTTCAGGATGAAGGAGAGCTCATTGAGCTCCTCGTAACCGCCGTTGCCGACGCATGTCTGCGCGCCGAGGGTACTCAGGAGGGAGGTCAGCATTAGTGGGGCGCCATGCAGCGCTTCTTATAGCGAGACTCTCCTTTCTCTCTAGTCGTTTTGCCAGAAAAAAACCCGCACACGACGCTGCAGCATGCAACGCGTGACCAGATGTAAAATTGGCCTGTGGAAGTGTGCAGTTGGGAGAGGGACGTGATGTGATGACCCTTTTTATACTGTAGTATATATATATATATATATATATATATGCCCCTTAGCAATATTTTTCAGGGCGCATGCAAAACGCCACCTCGATGGATGTGTGTGTGTATGTGTAAGTGTGTGTGTGTGCATGCGTTCGGTGCTTTTTGGACGCAGTGTATGAAGACCAGCTTTCTGCGCTAGACGGAAAAGTGGATGTCAATGTCGAGTGCGTAGTCAATCCCCCCAAAGAGCACCCCTTAGAAGGATCGCAGGACGTCTGGGAAACAGAAGACAATGACGACAGCGAGAGCACCTCCTCCACACAAGCCGCTGAGGAGGCACACGAAGAAGAGGCACAGGCCCCAGCTGACATAGCGCGTTCCCAGGCATCAAGAGCCGCCGCTCTGCCTAATGAAACACAAGAAGACGCCGAAGAAGACAACGTAGAAGCATCCCAGCCTCAAGCGGCCAATGTGCCTGCGCACATAGACGTTATCGCTGCAGCAGAAAGCTTTAGAAGCGAAGCCGTGGCCGTTTTTCTGCGGCTTGCCGAAAATCCCGCGATTCCCCTACAATCCCATTTGGCCGCAGCGGACGCCCTCGTCAACTTTGCCAAAGAGCTTGTCACGTCCGCATTCCCCAGTGCCTGAGTGTACCGGTGTACATACAGCCCCCCGCTCCCTCCCCTTCCCAACTCCGACTTTGTCTGCAACGGTGGCAGACAAAGTTCGCGTGGACAGCGGCACGTTGGGAAATTCCCCTCGAATAAGCGCCACCCGCGTAGTAGAACAACAACAGCACACCAAGCTGCCGTACAGAGGAAGCTTGGTTGGTGCTAGCCAGCGCATGTACAGATTGCGACTAGGAGGGACGCCCTGTTCGTGCAGCGTTACTGTACGTACAGCATGAACCTCACCTTTGTCTCACGAGGCAGACGTAACTGCACTGCTGGCTCCTTTCCTGACCGACAAAACAGCCTTCCCTTCCCCTCCCCCGCTTTCTCCCTCCCCCCTGGCCCTCCACAATAGATGCGCCTTGAACTAAAAACGCTTAGGTATCTCTATATACGCAGAAGAGGGGGCTCTGCAGTCGTTAGCGCTCGCCCCTCCTCTTTACAAGGCATTCTTAGACCTTGAGGAAGCAAGCGACAGGACTGGCAGGCGCATTGCGCTCCGCGCTGTGGAGACGCAATCCTCCAAGCAATATAAGGGCTGCTAGGTAGGTGGTAGAAGGGCGACGAGCCTGCCATTATTCGGCCAGCTAACAGGGATATATCTATACGCTAGCTGGCTAGCTGGCTGGCGCGACAAGCACACGCTTTGCGAGCGGCAGCGCTCACCAAATGCGCCCCACAGACAAGGCGCAGAAGCACCGATTGAGGAGACAGACGAGACTTAGGTCCTCCCTACGCTGCCACTACTGCAGTTACTGCTGTTGCAGCAGCAGCTGATGCTGTTACCATCTACGGTACAGCCAGCGCTGGTGGACGCAAAGGCCACCACAGATCAACCCTCCAAGTCTCTACAACCTCGGCAAAAAACGAGCACGCATAGGTCGCTGCTGCCACTGCTGCTGCATTCGCTGCGCCTACAATTTCCCCGCGGCTCTAGCCGCGTATAGGACCGAATAATAAAAGACCATCACTGGCAGCAGCAACAGCACAAAATGCCACCCAGCGTTCAGCAGCGTCCGTGCAGCTGCTGAACGCTACACCATGAAACAATACACACACACACAGACACACACACACACACTTTACCATACAATTGGGTCCTCATGTATGAAACAATATGCATGTATATAATTATATATATATACTGGACGATGAGCCTCAAAAGGTCGCGCACAGGCCAAGGTGCTGCTAATACTGCTGTACTTCTGCAACAGATAGCCTGCCGCTGTTAAAAGAGTCAAAAAAGACATGATCTCAGACACCAGAACCCCCCCCCCTCCGTTCCCCCATGCTATGTGTGGTGGCAGCTCGAGCACCACCCACATCGTTATCATATATAAAACGTACAGCGCGATCGTTCGCGCATAAGCCGCTGCTGCTGCTGCTCCAGTGAATGGTCCTCCCTCACTCCGCCTTCAAGACGCAATGCTCGCATCCATGCCTGCAGCAGCAGCGAGCACTGCAGCGGCGAGATTCGCAACATGAGGCGCAGCACATGACGTGCTTCTCCTTGCTGCTGCACCAGCATCTCCCTGTTGCAGCTGCAACTGCCTCTTCTCCGCTTGGAGACGGCATGCAACCGCCATGCGCCTCGCAGTGTCGTTCCCGTATATGTTAATGCTAAAAGTCCTCTTCCTCCTCTTCCTACTGCTGCCACTCCCACTGCCACCAACCCCACCCCCACTGCCACCACCCCCACCGCCACCAACCCCACCCCCACCCCCACTGCCACCACCCCCACTGCCATCCGCAGGCAAAGTCCACTGAGCACTCCACGTATTGTCAGACGGATTAAAACACACCCCAGGAACCTTCGCTGGCAGCTGCAGCTGCTTCTCCTCGACGCGCATCAAGATGTCATCTATAAGCGGCAGATACGCGACAGCCGCTGTTGTACCAACCCCCCCTCCTGCCGATGGCTGTCCTCCCCCACCGACCATGCCTCCACAAACAGCACTCAAGCCACCCCCACTCCCACCCCCCCCGGGAGCAACAGCTGCACCAACACTACTATGCCCCCCCCCACCGCTGCTGCTGCTCCCGCTGCCACATGCAACAGCGTTTCCGCCGCTCGAACTACTCCCATTATGACCACTCGCACTCCCCCCACTGCTTCGCAGAGAAACATCCGATGCAGTTGGAGATACACACCCCATCCCAATGCTCCCATTGCCGCCACTCCGACAACAGCCACCTCCTCCTCCGCCTGCTGCCGCTGCTCGCAACTCCCAGCTCAAGCTGCCACTAGACACTGCATTGCTCGCTGCAGATCGCGTGGTACGACTCATTCCCGCTTGTTGCAGCACAACTCGCTGCTGCTGCTGCTGCAATTGCAGAGGCGCCAGCTGGCGGCTGCTGAAGTTGCCGCTGCTATTGCGCAAATCCAAGAACGTGCTATACGGCTCAGGAGTCGAGAGCGAAGAAACTGACCCCGCCGGCTGTAAAACAAAGGCATCCTCCTTCGAAGCGTCAATAGCGTTGTTGCTGCAGCTGCTACTCCCACCACTACCACTGCCAAGACTACCATGGCTTGCTACCAGAACCTGGTGCTGCAGCTCCTGCTGTTGCTTCACTGTGTCATCTACTAGACGCGCACCAAAGGCAGGAGAGACTAAGCTGCTACTGCTGCAGTCTGTGCTGACTCCTGCCTTCTCGAGCAACCGGAGCTGCTGCTGATGAAGCTCCTCCTCTTGGTATTGCTGCTGCGGCTGCTGCTGTTGCTGCTGCTGCTGCTGCGAATCCGTCAGCTGCCGCTGCAGCTGCTGCAACACCGCGTCCGAAGACACCTCATCGCTCGACATCCTCATAAGAAACGTGGGGGGAGAGGCTGCTGCTTCCTGCTGCATCTGTTGCAGCCACAAGCTCCCTGTCTCCGCATCCGTCTCTTCAGCTGCTGCAGACAGCCTCGAAGAAAGCGCAGCGGAGAGTGCTTCCATTCCAGCGCCCGCAGTAGCCTCTGCAGACTGCTGCCGCAGCTGCAGCAGCAGCACTTCGAGGCTATTCTGCCGGCTCGTTGTGTTGCTGCTGCCGCTTTCCCCGGCATAAGAGAGGACAGACTGTATCGATCGAGAGCGCTGCGGCAGCAGCTGCTGCCGCAACTCCCTGTACGGACTGCTGCCGCTGCAACTGCTCCCGGCAACCACGGCTTCACTGCTGCCGTGCTGACGATGCAGCAGCTGAAGCAAGTCTCGGCTGCTCGTTCGGAGCAGCTTGCTGCCGTCCACCAGATCATTTTTCCCCATCCACATCTCGCTGTGCTGAAGCACTGCTCCTCCTATCCCCGAAGAAGCCGCTGCCGCCGCAGGAGTCGCGACAGTCGAACTCCTGCTGCTGCTGATCTGCTGCTGCATCTCTTCGGCAGGCATGCGCTTCCGCTTTGCGCTAGTCACAGCTGTCTCCGAAGACACATCCCCGGATGTCGAAACACTGGCCTTCGGAAGACTCTGTTGAGGCTTCACAGGAATAAAGTCATTGAACGCCGCGACATATTCTCGCCACTCAGAAATCTTCCGAGGTGGCTGTGCTAAGGCAGCTACCCAGGAAGGCCCTTGGTGCTGCTGCTGCATGTGCTGCTGCTGCATGTGCTGCTGCTGCATGGACTGCTGCTGCATGTGCTGCTGCTGCATGTGCTGCTGACGGCGTATTCCCGAGACACCGCTGCCTCGCTGCTGGAGACAAGAGATCACATGCTGAGGAGTGCTATACACAGCGCTGAGGAGAGAACCCTCCATTGCACACACGGCATCTAGCGCGGAAGAGAGCAGCTGCAAGCTAGCCAGATGGCTAGCCACCTGCTGCCGCAGGGACGAAACACAAAACTCCACAGCAATGCTGCAGAGGCACAGCAGGCTTCGCACAGACAGTGGCAAAGCCGCGCTCACTCTGCAATCAATCGACAAAAACAATGCGCAAAACATACACTAACACATAGAGAGAGAGCGATACATAGACATATACATAAATGTATATATGTATATATATGTGTATCTCTAAAAGAAATGACAAAAAACCGTCCACATATCACCCCACCATTCTCCACAGACATGCCCCCCTCGTATCTGCACATCTCCTCCATCCTTGCCCTCTAAACCAGATCGAACAAACTGACAATCAAAGATTCCTCCCCCTCCCTCTGAACCCCCCTCAAAAGCCGAGAAGTAGCGCCAATGCAGCGCAGTAGGATCAACATTCTCTAGATGCTCATATATTAATATATATACATATATATACATACATGAATACATGTACATACACACATCAACATATGCGTGTATCATATTGAGTGCAGCCTCACCTCCTTCTGTCCGCGCCTTGCCAAGCTCGAAGAGGCAGCACCTGTCGCAACACAATCTCCGAATGCTGGATGAGCGTGCAAAGCCACGGATCGGCAACAGCAGCAAAGAAAGGACTTGCTTCTGCAAGTTGCTGTTGCTGCTGCTGCTCATCCCCATCGCTCCGCGTCTCTTCCAGGAGCTTCCTTGCAGCAGCCGCAACACCCTCCATCCCCAACTCCCTGTGCCGACAAACTGTCGGAATAACAGCAGTTCTGTATAATTCGTACGGATATACAACACGTCCTGAGCAGCTTTGGGGAGAGCCGCCTTCTGCTGAGGTGTCTCCCTTGACATCTGCAGATGCCGACGACGCTGCTCCTCTGCCACTGCCACCATTTCCGCTGCTGCTGCTGCTCGTTCTGCTGCTGGCACTGCCCCCTGCGAATTCCTCCTCCTCTGCGAGGTTCTCTGCTGCATGCTGCTGCAGCGCATGCAGTGAAGACGCTGCGGCGACGTTGCTGCTGCTGCCTCCGTAAGCCGCGAGGGGCAGCAAGCCTGCCGCAGCAGCGGCAGCAGCGGAAATCCTGTATGCAGGAAAATGCAGCACGTTCTGCTGCCCCCCTTGATGACTGAAGCGGTCTGGCGCAAACGAGAAGAGCGACAGTGTAGAATGAAGCAGTAAGCCCTCCCGCAGCAGCAATTCATGCCGTTGCTGCTGCTGGTGCAGATCGTGCAGCTGGCGTTCAAGTTTGCTGCACCACAGCACGCGCTGTTGGAGCGACCCCAAAAAATCGGAGACTGCCAAGTCATCTATAAAGGACTCAAAGGTGTTGTTGTTGCTGTTGTTGCCATTGCCATTGCCGTTGCTGCTGGTGCTGCCGAGTGCAGCAGCAGCAGCAGCAGTGCTCACATTCGGTGGAAGCAGCTCGGGTAGCCGCTCTACACCCCACATTCTAGCACTCCAAAGAGCACCTGCAGGAGATCCCATAAGACTGTACTGGAAGCAGCGAAGATCGGCTTGCGCCTTCTGCTGCTGCATGTGCTGCTGTTGCTGCTGCATGTGCTGCTGTTGCTGCTGCATGCACTGCTGTTGCTGCTGCATGTGCTGCTGTTGCTGCTGCATGTGCTGCTGTTGCTGCTGCTCCTCTTCGGCGCGGAATGGTGGCGCTGTCAGTACCCCCGAGGAGGATGCTTCCTCCTCCCGCTTCAACAGAGGGGAGTGCAGCAGCTGCTGCAGAGGCTGATTTAGGAGCCGCTCCATATCTCTATATAATGTAAATATATATATACATAAATACACACAAGCACACACCAGGCGCCCTCCTGCGGCACCCGGAGTACTTGCGCTTCTCCCGCCGCTGCTAATGCTTCAGCTAAAGGACTCTGTGCTCAAACGCGCATGAACAAGGGGGTCCAAGAACCGATCAGTCTCTATTCATTGCTACACCTTTCGCCGCTTCCCCAGCTTTTGCCGCCGCTGCTTCCGTCCCTGCTTCTGCTAGGGCTGATGATGATGAAGCGATGACGGAATCCTCGCTTGGCGACGTACTGGCAATGCTGTCTGCTTGCTGGCGCGGTATTTAACCTCTGCTCATTGTGTACAGTCGCTCTGCTACTGCAGTTGCTGCAGGTGTTATATTGCTAATGCTGCTGCTGGTACCCAGAGTGGGAGAGGGGCGGGCAAGCGGCGGCGGCGCAGCCTAAAGGCGCCGGCCCGCAACAGCCAGAGAATTCGGGGGCCTCCTACACGATCTTAAAATTTCACTAAGGGCCCTTCCAGCAGCTTACTGCCAGAGAAACAATATGCAAGAAACCGCCTACTGCTGCAGCAAAAGCAGCAACTGCCCTTGCAAAATGGCTGCAGCACGGCAAAAGCCCTCTCGCAGCAACAGCACCGAGCAGACAAGGCGTGGCTGCTGTTGCTGATGATGCTGCTACCACGCGCACTGCTACTGCTGCGCTATGTATATGTATATACGTGCCATAGACCGTAATTCCAACTGAGCCTTCCGATCCCCATTCGAATGCTTCCAGTTTCATGAAACAAACAGTTCTTTATGCAAAAATAAACAAAACAACGGAAGATATACATATATGACTGCCGCCATATATATGTATGCGGGGGCATCCCCAACAGCCCTAGCCAGCAGACGCAACACAAGTCCAATCGCTCTGGAGGGGCAGATCATCCCCACAGTTTGGCCCCTAGTGATCACATAGCTCCAGAAAGCCGTCTTTTCGTCTACACTCTTTTAAGCTTCCTCGAATTTCTTCCAGTACACGAATCCGTAGAGCGTTCCTACTCCTTGAAAGCAGCGCAGTTATCCCTCCAATCTGCTCACGCCACAACATATTTCCTACCCTCGCGCGAGGGCTAGCCGCTGCTTGAGCGCCCCTACTCCTTAGGCCTTTGCAATCCCTTTACATTGTATGGCGCAGGAATTCTTTTGAAGCCAAAAAGCGAACCATGATACAAATTTACGCTCACCATTGCACCGAGCGAACGGGAACTTTCTGCAGTGCTACTCTAAGGCCGTAGGCCGATGTTGAACGGTGATGGGATACTGCCCCCTTAAGAAGCTTATAAGTCTACCAACCCCTATTTCGAACACTTTTCCGTAGCTTACAAAGGCATACTGTGTGAAAAAGCCGAAACATTCTATGCCATTGCTCTCTAACGCTGAGAAGTCGGCATGCACTGGATTCTAGTTTGCCTCGAGAAACCTCTGCTTCTGGAAGGTTCAGACTTCCACCTAGTGGACCGTCTGATGGCGAGTTGTTCCTACCTCATCTGAAGATGGTGCAGTGGCTCGTGCGGAGCGCTGCTAAACAAAGCGGTAGAGTATACCCTATCTTCCCCGCCGTCCTGCCGTGTGTCAGTCCACACCCTATAGTGCTTCTTGGAATCTTCGCAGTACGACATAAAGGCCATAACCCCCCAAATCAAACTCAATGCTGTAGAGGGCATTCAAGGGGTTCCACCTTAAAGCAGCAACTTCTTATGCAGAAAGGCCACAGAATACTGGATTGATGGGCTCTTTGAGCACCGGCGTAATAGGTATTTGCACCATCGATGGAGTAACTCCAGGCAGCTGCTTACGTGCGCACCCACGAACGCACTCACTTGAACCATAGGTCCTTCCACCAGAGTTACGGTTATCTCTTACGCAGCTCGCACAACATGAACTCTATAGAGGCACGTTCACACAGAAACAAATTTACTCGAATGACCAACCTTAATGACTGCAGACTGCTAGTTACTGGGCCTGCTGTGAAGATAGCACGGCTCGGCAAAGTTCAGGGCAGTTCAGGTGAGGGCGGCTGCGAAGGTGAACCCTCGAATGGACGCGAAATGTATTCAGTCACTTTGCCATTTATTTGGCTTGGCTGGGACTGCAGCTTGCCATGCTTCATATTATATTGCTTCCTTTATCTCTGGACTCAAAACTCTATAGGGCCTTTGGAAGCGTGCTATGAGCGGAGGCTGTACGGCGTCCGGGTGCTTCTCTCACCCTCTTTTTAAGCGATGATAAATTCTGAGAACAAATGTGCCTCCTCATCTAGCGCTCTGGGGTTCTTGAGCCAACCCGAAATCATAGCCTTGCGAGTAGGACGCTGGTTGGCATGCATGCGTGCATGTACCTGAGCAGCTACGTAATCCTCGGAGATTAGATATACATACGAACGCCAGAACCACGAATGAAAACTACACATCAGCATATCGGCACTGAAACAACATAGCACCTTCTCCGCAGCGGCTCGCGCTCCTTCTACCTGAATGTGGTCATGCAACCAGACTGTGCATATTCAGGTGAGCTCCTGAACATATTTATTCGCCTCTCGTATTCCTCGTGGGCTACCTTAATATTCAAATCTTCTTCATTTTGAAGGGAACGCGCTTATCAATCTGTTAAAATAAATGGTTCGCACTATTGTAGGCAGTCCGTGTGTGATTTGAATGCTTTCCCAGACAACTGAGTGCTACATTGGAAGACTTGCGTGGAAGATAGTCGCTTGTTCTTCTGTGGCGCTGTCATGAACTTCATGAAGGGCGCCTGAGCATGTTTCAAAGAACACGAAATACGCGGCTATATATATAGATACATGCTTTGTTTCTAATATGTGTGTCTTTGTATATGGGAGATAGAGCGACGGTGCCTGCCTGGCCCTCCGTACCAAGCGTGCACCACAGTACAATTCGCTGCACTGCAGCTCTCGCCTCTCCACCGATGACACGACGGCCTTAAAGGTCATAGGTGGAATTGAGCGAAGGGACGAGAAAAGTTGAATGCACAGTAGACGAACTGGATGCCTAGCTGCCAAGAAGTCATGCTTGCTCTGACCCTTGTTATGTTGGAAACCGAATTTTAGTGACAGGGCAACGGCCAGGCATGCAACTTCACATTAAGCTGTGGGGGCCCGCTGCATCGAGTCGTTATTTCGGTGCTTCCTGCCAATTCTGCCCTTGAAGCAGCTGACGTAGCTGTAGCTAGGTGCGAAACATTGTGACTAATCCCTGCGCCCTGCAGAAGAAGGCTTGGGCACAGACCTATCTTTAGTCATATTTTTCATGCAGGCCCTTGCTGATGAGCACCTTGCCGGAAGACGAGACACGCACGGCCTGCGTCCCTCCAATATGTGGCGAGTGTAGATACCCTACACTGCAAGCAGGACCCTGGCTAGTTTTTTTCTACGGGATAGCCAGAAACAGTCCGAGGAACGTGTTGCAGCACCCGATGTATACACATATATGTTTATGTAAATCCTGCGTTCCTCCTGCTGCTTGCCTTCCTCCTACGGAGGCCCTTCTGGAAGGCGAGACGTAGCTTCCAGAAAGGCCGAGAGAGAGAACAGATATGCAAGGGCCGTTAAGTGGCTCAGGGGGTTGTGAAGGTGAGAAACGCCAGGCACTAAGAGTCAGACAGCGGAATGGAGGGAGGCGTGCTCGCTGGTTGTCGTACTGTGTATGCCTGTGCGGCTGACCGCATGTGCAGTGAGTCAGGCACGCACAAGGAGGCTTGCTGCTTTAGGAAACTTCCCTACATCAGGGATCAGTTGAGAATCAGTGGGTTACTATTCAACATGGGGGCCCTGGTCAGCTGCTACAGTAGAGCTAGCAACCCTAAGAAGAGATTCAACCGGTGCAACAGAGTGTAGATTAACGCGGCAACACCCCTAGCTGCAACAGCATCACCTATAACAGTGGCGCGCTGCGTCCTATTTTCTGTGGTAGGCGTCGGCGTTGGAGCCTGCGGGACTGTGCCTTTAGAATTTCACATAAGAGGACTTAGCGAATTCCTCCTGCCCTGAAGCCTTTCTTGGTCTTTGCTCCTCTGGAATTTTAGCTCAAGTGTTTGGGGAGAGCTGCTAGGTTCGTGAATGCGCCTCAAACGCTCCACTCGCTCTACACAGCGCTAAGGATGCCGCACCCCGCTTTGAGCGCAGCGGCTGCAGAAGCTATAGAAGCATGCAGGCCCTGGCGGCGTGATTAATAGGAGCACCACTGAGTGGCAACATCAGGAAGCCGCTGACCGTCTCCCCGCAGCCATACGTACAAAGTGCTGCTGGACTTTCTTTTCTAAGCTTAACAATGAGGCGACAGACGCCGCGATCTCCTATAGGCATCACACATGGTCGTTAGACGAACTGGCAGGAGTGGACGGCCGTGCAAGCAGCTAGCGCCACACCCGCGAATCTACATGCATCTACAGATCCGCAGAACTACATGACAGCGCATATAAATGTACGTTTCTACAGGTGTTGGGGCCCTAGTGTTTACACATCCTGCCTCGTGGTGTAGTCCAGCCAGCACTACGCGCCTCCTAGCATGTAGAGGCACGACCCCTTTCATGAAGCCCTCATGCATCTAACACCATTGCACACCGACAAATAACAATGCGCGCATGCCCTGTACATAGTTGCGTCCGTTGAGAAAGTCACAAGCCCCCGTGCGTGCCTGTCGAATGCCCCTACCTGCAAGTGCTTGCGGGAGGCGGAGGCTCCCTGATCTTCCTTGGTTAGACCGTACGTTGGCAGGTGCGCTTCCTTGAAAGGGCCTCGTTGTCTCTTGCTATCTGAAAGTGCACAGAGAAGTATCGAGAGAGACACAGGGCATGATAGGAGCCGCAATGTGTGGGTGTGAGGGGGGAGGAGGGGAGAGGGCTGCTGCGGATGCATGCTCGAAAAAAACGGCTGCACACAGACGCTGGATCAGGCCAGCTAGCTAGACCGCTCGCTAGCCGGGGGGCACAAACGACAAGA